TCATTTTCTTGGCCGCCTTTTGCTTTTTTGAAAAAAAAAAAACTAAACACCCAAATTTCACACGCATGAAAAAAATGACAATCATCAAAGTTAATGCATAAGAAAAGATACCAAAAAATCAAAGTTAACTAATGCATAAGAAAGGACTACCAAACCACAAAAACATATTCTATAATTATATATAATGTTGATAAGACTATGATTCATTCAAATCTGATCCGATCGAAGAGAAAGAGTCTCTCGCTAACTTGACTACTTTAATCTATTACACTCCATCCTGTGTCCCAAAATATTGTGTGATTTAAATTTTTATTTTTTTAATTTAAATCATTATATATATATTAAAGGAAAGAAATATAATCGACACGTGTCACTTGTTTATAATATCAATAGTATTCAGTTAATTTTTTTCGTGATAACGGTTAATCCAACCAATTTGTTTATTTATATTTACTCTTTTTTGCTCTTTTCCCGGACTGATACTGTGAATTCAGGCATAGCAGACTGAAATCGTGGCGGAAGACGTCTCAAGAACCCTAACTAAACTCAACCATCTCTCCCGCGCCACCAACAAACGGAAGAGCAAGAACCACTGAGGAGAAGCTGTGGCCGACGACGAGGAATTTGGAATCAGAGTTCGATGTGGGCAAATTTGAAATCCAAAGGTTAAAGATGATGACTAATGAAGTTTGCAACAAGAATCAGTTAGATCAGAATTATTCCGATCAAAGATACAAAGTCAAAAGAAATCAGCTAATCTTCGGTCTGTGATGAAGGCGGAAGGGAATTTTGATGGTTGCCACATCAATCGCCGTGTCACGAATCGAACGCAATTGTGAAGATCATCGGACGCAATCCTCCAACGTAAATGAAGAAGAAGATGATGATAGTATTTAGTCCTAGAGGGCCGAATCCATTCTTCATCCGTTGGCCTCTTTTTTTCCTTTTGTAAATCGGCCGCCATTTCAAGAGTTGCCAACATAGTAATGAGGTTTTTCTTTTTTCTTTTACCTTCGAATGAGTTTTAGATTATTATTTTTTTAACCATATAAAGTTTGACACTATTACTTTATAAATTTTATATCTATCCAATTACTCAACAAACTTTTACAGCTTTACAGCTTTGATCTTTTGATTTTTTCTTTGTTTTTTTTGTTTTTGTGATTTTCAAAATAAATAACACTGATAGTTTCATAATCTCTATATTTTCAATACGAACTATATGATGTAAAATTTTAATACAATAATATTTAAATCCCGTCGTGCAACGCATGGGTACATACTAGTTGTACTAAAAATAGAAATTTAAATTTGACAATAATTTTAAAACAGAAAGAATAATATATGTTTCTACACTGCACAAATTAGTGTGACACGGACTATAATTACTCTACAGCAAATTAAAAAATACATAAAAGTAATTTGTAGTATTATTTTAACTCTACAGCAAATTAATCAACTACAATCAGATTTTGGGAATCAGTCTTCTAAAATTTTATTCAATTCAATTTATTGATAGGTCTATAGTGAATCACGACGATGATTTTCTTTATGAGACAAAAAAATGTCCTGGAAAAGAAAAACAACATTAAGGTCGTTTTCTGTTTTCATCCCCAGATCGACGTACTAAATTTAGTGTACTCATTTGGGTGGAGTCATGATTCATGAGTTTTATACACAATTCAACATTCAGATTTCATGGGCCATGCAGTAATAGAACTTGCAAAAATTTTAGAAATTATTTAGTGTACTCATTTGGGTGGTGTCATGATTCATGAGTTTTATATACACAGTCAACATTCAGATTTCATGGGCCATGCAGTAATAGAACTTGCTAAAATTTCAGAAATTATTTAGTGTACTCATTTGGGTGGAGTCATGATTCATGAGTTTTATATACACATCAACATTCAGATTTCATGGGCTATGCAGTAATGGAACTTGCAAAAATTTTAAAAATTACTTCCTTAGTCTCGGAAAATAATTCACATAGATTTTTGACATTTATAACAAAAATAACGCATAACTCAAATTCAATGTTAACCTTTTTTAAGAAGAGGTAGTGATATCAAAGAACACACGAGCAAGATAACTCTGTTATAGATCGTGACCAACTAACTGTGTATTGTATTGTTTTTTTAATATTAAATAATAAGTGATGATTGAAATGGTAGCAATGATGTGATTAGTGACCATATCATGTGTATCACGAATTTATCTCCATGTATTATGATACGTACAGGTCGCTGTTGGAATTTGGAAAAGAAATCTCTCATTTCAACGTTGAAAAGGAAGATAGTAGAACTCACTTGTAATTCTAAAGGTTCATTTGTGAAAACCAAAAGGCTAAATCCATCTTAACGAATAGTTTTTCAACAGAACTAACACATTAATGAAACCCTATATGTGTCATTTTATGAAATTGGGAGCCCATCCGTAGTCTTAACATTATCTAATTATGAACTTGTTGAGTTTTTCAACTTGTTTTCATAATTTTCCAAGAACCCAAAACCCACAGTCGGCGAAGGTAAACTTTCATCTTTCTGTCACATATTTGTCTATTTATAATTTAAAATCAAGAATAGGTAGATTTGGTTTATTAAGATTTTGCCATGAAACGAACATAGTTATTTTCAACTTTCCGAATAAATGTATGAAATCCTGAACAAAAGTATTTTCAACAAAAGCGTTTGAGGAAAAGAAAAATTGAATCCTGATTATGATGATGATGACAACGATGATGATAATTTGTTTTTAATTTGTGCAACTTTGATTTTCTTAAAGACAAATGAAAGTATTTTTATGACAATCTTGATTCATTCTTATGACACATTTGATTCATTCTTTCATATTTTTGTTGGTACAAATATAGTAGAGACTAGAGAGTGATTTTCTTGTATCTATTTTATGATTTAAAAGGTAATAAAACAAAATAGGGAAAATTCTTATTAAGAGTGTGGTAAGAATTAAAATTTTTAAAAGGGGTATTCATGTATCATAATTCCTATTAAGGGCGTAAACTTATATATAGTATTTTTATTAATATTGAAATGACTCTTTTGTCTTTCCTATCTCCTTTGTACACTAGAGAAAAAAAAAAAAGAGAAAAAAAAAAGAAGAAAGGCTGTGCTGGAAAAAATAATTAAAAGCTCCGAATCTAAAATTCTTTCTACAAATCCCATATATGTGTTTGTGCGCACTTCCAAGTTTGCTCCATTCTTTACCATGCATATTCTCATATTCAGTTCCTGCAATTTTAAGATGCTATTTTCTACAAATTCATTTGTTTATTTTTGACATAAATCATAAAAAATCATTTCCATATTTTCAGTTACTTTAGAAAAATTTTGACAATGAAAATTATGAACTCAAACATTTTATAAATATCAAAATCTCTATTATTTACGACTATAAGATATTAACAATAGAATGGATTTGCTTCTTTTCATTGAGTTTCCCAATATTTTGAGTAAAACTAAAATAAATTTGTGTAAGTTAATTTAAGAACTAATGCCTGGAAAAAACTGAAATTGATTATGAGGGCTGAATTGGAAATTTATATGTTGATTTCTTTTCCAAGTTGGATGGTTGTGTGATGAACGTGCTGGCGACCATGGAGATTCTATGAGGTTTTTTGGACCTTGTTTCAACTGGGGCAGGAAGATGAGGAGGAAATAAGAGTCCTTTCAGTTAAATAAAATGCCCACATATAATTTTACGTCCTTAATGGGAATTATGAAACATATATACCCTTTTTAGGAATTTCAATTTTTACAGCAGCCTTAAAGAAAATTTCTCCTAAAAATTAAGGGTAATTGTGTTATTATGAAATTATATTGATTTTGTAATTTTTGACAAATAAATTATTGCGCTTCATAGAAAAAATTTTAAGGTTGTATCCTTTTTATTAATTTGATATGTTCTACCGCCTCCTAACCAATTTTTTCCAAAAAAAAAAAGCAAAATTTACATTACTTAATTAGCTAATTTTGGACAAGTTTACAGTTTATACTGATCATATCATGACATCAATTTATCTGTATTGATAATAGAGATACTATACAGAAAAATTAGAATGCTAACGAGAAAAAGATAAAATCACTACCAAAATTACACTTTTATATACGGACATAACTGCCCCTAGTTTCCACTGAGTCTGTCTTCCAAGGTCTATGTATGTATGTATCGTTATTTTGCTCCACTGCAGTCTTTTAACTATTGCAGTTAACGTGAATTTAATCATTTCTAGTGTGGGTCATACATGTTGCCTACCCATAAGTTTTTTTCCCCTAAGAAAAAATAACATTTTAATATACACTTTTATATCATTTTATAAATATTACTCTTTCCGTTTAAAGAAAAACATATTGAACAAAAAATGATATAACAAATTGAACCAATCCCTCTTTTCTTTGGGTCTTAGGGAATAACTTGTACTGTATCTTCTCTTCTTCTCTATGTATTTTAGCCGGTTGGTGCAATTCTACAAATGGTAACAATCTTAGCTTAAAATGACCAATAAGATTTCATTAATCTATCAATTAAAATTTCGGGCCACAAGCCATCTACCAAACTTGGCCCCGGTGTTAATGCATGAATATTGATGGATGGATCTATTCTATTTTAATACTAGTATATTTTACAAAAACAAAACATTAAAATAAATTTTTAGCTATTAAAATGACAAAAGAATAGTATTCTGTGATAGCACATCGCCACATCAGTTTGACAATGAGTAAAACATATATAATAAAATAATCATCTTATAGCTTACTCTCAGAAAGGTAGCTAGCTAATAAAAGAGACATGATTAGTGTCCTTGAATGTTCATGGGCTTAAACATTTCACAACCACAGAACCTTTCATTTATGATTTACCTCACCACCAAAGAGTATATTGAAAATGAATACAGCTGTGGGGACAACCAAAGGTATCCAATACACTGATACAGCTTCCCCATTATTCATGGCAAATATTAAAACCAGAAAATTTTACCACCAAAAAAATAATAATAATAAATAAATAAGGAAAAAGAGAACCATTATAAATATCGATGAAAAGATAGTGATTCTCAAACCCTTCACTTCAAAAAATACATTCAGCTCAAGAAAAAGACAGCAAATAAATTTAGCCATGGGAAAAGAACTAGTGAGAAAACCTCATGCAGTTTGCATCCCATATCCATGTCAAAGCCACATTAGCGCAATGCTAAAGCTAGCCAAACTCCTCCACCACAAGGGCTTCCACATCACTTACGTCCACACTGAGTACAACTACAACCGCTTGCTCAAAACCCGGGGTTCCGATTCCGTGAAAGGCTCGCCGGATTTCAACTTCGAGACCATCCCCGACGGCCTCCCGCCAGCCGAGAACGACGACGTGACTCAGGACGTTTTCCAGCTGTGCATGTCCACGGCCAAGAACTGCCACGCGCCGTTTCTTGAACTCCTTAACAAGCTGAACAAGAAAGCCGAGGCGGCCGGTGACGGTTCTTCGCCTCCGGTGACTTGTATTATATCCGACGCATTCATGTCTTTCACTCTTCAAGCTGCTGAAGAGCTAGGGATACCTAATGTACAGAGTTGGACTCTCAGTGCATTTGCGACCATGTGTTTTATTCACGTTCCTCATTTCAAAGAACGAGGTTATGTACCGCTTAAAGGTATTTGTTATTATTCGTGTTTTAAATTTACTATCTTTATCGTTACTCCTTTTAAAATTAGGTTCATTTGTATTCTCTGTTATGCTAAGGAAGACGGAATACAATTAAACTGAACTCCTTAATGGAATTATTCATCTTAAGGTGGATGCGATCCTAAAAGTAAGTTTTGGATGAAAAAAAAAAAAACTGAATATTTGCCATTTTAGAGACAAAGCAAATTTTCAAGTAAAGGTATGTGGTTGGTAGGTAGTTGAATTGGTGATCACTGTGAGTGGGACATTCATTAATGGTATCAACGTTCATTATTGGGTATTAAATCATGAACAATGGTGACTTGATGATAGTAAGTCTGTTGATTGTGACAAGTGATGGTTTCATAATGCAAGAGAAATTTATTTCTTTGTCCCTTAAGATTGAACAACTGAATATTAGAAATAGGCTATTAATATCATGACAAAGAGAGCATTACCTTCATTTATTAAATTTGCCGAAACAATTAGCTGTAACTTCTTTTTTTTTCCTCTTTGCGAAGTATAATTTTGTCGATATACATACATCACTTCTTTTATAATGTTATCATTTCCGTCCAAAAAAATAGTTCACATTATATTTTGAGATTTGCTTTTTTTAATACAAATTTAAAAATTAAATGTGGATTATTTCTTTGAGACAGAGAGGATATTTTTTTAGTAGATATATAATGTCATTATTACTATACATTAATTCTAAAAATTATGATCAGCACCTTGTTATGCTTCTCTAGATGTGCCAAGAGATATTACTCTTTTTCTAGCTATTTCTTTTGTTTGACTTGAATAATGGAATACCTGATATATTGATGTCTTGGGCAGTTGGTGCTTGTTTCAACACGCAAAAATTTAGCATGATTTAGTAAAATAAATTAAAAATAAGATAAAACTTCAACATGAATAAAGAATCATGTTACGGCTTTGCATAATAATTTAATTTTTAATTTCGATTTTCACTTATAGCACAAAATATATCAAAAGATAAAAATGAAAAATAGTTATAGAACAGAAGAAGTACATGTCTAAAGGATTCTTAAGGAAGAAATTTTTCTCACCTATTTATCATAAATTTACAGATGCGAGTTACTTCACAAATGGCTATATGGATCAAAGTGTTGATTGGATTCCCGGAATCAAAAGCATCAAATTGAAACACGTCCCAACTGTAACTTGGACAACTGATCCCAACGATCCATTTCTGGCATATTTACTAGACCTAATGCCTAGAACTTGTAAGGGTTCAGCCACCATCATAAACACATTTGATGCCCTAGAACATGATGTGTTGAAACAGTTTCCTACTTTAGTGGATCAAGTATACTCCATTGGGCCGGTCCACACGCACGCAAAAGTAGTCCAATATGGTGATAAAGATAATAAGGTTGAATCCATCAAATCCAATTTATGGAAAGAAGATGACGGTTGCATTGAGTGGCTCAACTCCAAGGAGAAAGGTTCAGTTGCTTATGTGAATTTCGGGAGTATTACAATCATGACTAAAGATCAACTAGTTGAGTTTGCATGGGGACTTGCTAATAGCATGCAAAACTTTTTATGGATCATTAGGCCGGATCTTGTACCGGAAGGGGCGGTTCTTCCTCCCGAGTTCATTAAGGCTACAAAAGGTAGAGGGATGCTGGCGAATTGGTGCAATCAAGAGCTTGTATTGAATCATCCATCCGTAAGCGTGTTTTTAACACACTGCGGATGGAATTCGGTAATCGAGAGCCTGGCGGGTGGAGTGCCAATGATTTGCTGGCCATTTTTCGCGGATCAACAAACGAATTCTCTGTGTGTTTGTGACTATTGGGGTGTTGGTGTTGAGATTGATAGTAATGTGGATAGAGTTGCACTTGAGAAAGTTGTGAGGGAGATGATGGAGGGAGATAAAGGTAAGGAGTTGAAGAAAAAAGCATTGGAATGGAAAGATAAAGCTGATGAGGCAGTCAGACCCGGTGTTGGATCTTCATACACCAATTTGAATAACTTGATTCAAGATGTGCTTCTTAAGCCTAAGCATAAATCTTATGTTTAAGGAATTGTTTGCAAAGCCAAGCAAAGGGGAGAGAAGACTTGTGATTCACGTGGTGAATTTAGTGACTACCAATTTCAATTATGTTTGATGTAGAAATAATAAATTTGTTACTTGTAATATTGTGCAAGATTTGCTTTCATGATTTGAAGAATTGCAATGCCTTATGTAGGCTGGAATGCGATTTGATCAATTCAAAGGTCGAATCAGCAATCTCGTTGGAAAATATCAGTAATTTTGTTGCGTGAATTAAAAAAATGTTCACTAATCTCTAACATTTCGGAACTATAAGAAAGAACATTGTAGATTTGTTGAAGAGAAATTACTGAGATATATATTATTGCAATTCATATAAAACATTATAAAAGGAGGTATCATTTATTACATTAGTAATATTAGGACGAGATGACATGATATATATATTAGTCTAATCTCATTCACATTTTGAGGGTTTCCAGCTAAGTAGTCCCAGAGCTTGAAAATATTGCAAATATATCAATATATCATCATAAACACAGTACACAGATAATCCGCAGTTGACAACATAACAACATCTGTGAGGGGGCCCCAATTGTTCCACTCTTCCATCCCTTTCACTGGAAAAATGGTACTTAAGGAGTGTTTTCGTATTACCATTAATAAAGAACGTTTGAATGAATTTTCGAGGTCACCTATATATTAATTGCTGATTGATTCGAGTATACCCATTTTCATGTGCTACTTGAGCACATCTTCTGTGATTATTCAGCGTGAGTAATAAATTCTTAGACAAAATTCATCTCTATACACTACACATCATGCTTAATTGCTGGAATTAATATCCTTCAACACGGTACTTAATATATAACATTGAGCGTTGATCCATCACAACATCCTTTGATTTGCGAGGTTAAGAAGAGTGGTAAAAATTTACATCGATGCTTTCCCTGCTTCTAAGGATTGCTAATCCATGGGAATACCATTTGCTTCTCTATATATAAGAAACATGATGAAAATAAATTGAATGAACATGGCGATTTAAATTGTAGACATCCACAGTTGAACCCACCACTTCCATGGCTACTTCTCTCTTTTCTTTAAAGAATTTTCAATAAGGATTTTCAATAACCATTCATCTCAAATTTGTTGTTCTAGTGAAAACACATTTTCATTTGTTCAAAATAAAAGAAAAGGCAGCATTTTATATACTTTCAAATATGTGACCGATCGACTCAACTACATATATAATATTGAGATTTAATTTTCAATCTCTTCCCCTTTTCTTCTCCTCCTTCTCTCTACTAGCTCTCACCAAAACAACTCTCTTTTTAATGGTGGATGGGGAGCTCCAAAATTTTAAGTTTAGTTTTATAAGTTTGTTTTTCATTGTGGGAAATTTTTTGCTCTTTCTTTTACGGAAGTTTTGCTCCTTCATTTTGAGGGTCTAGCTTCTCTCTTTTTGAGGGAGTTTAGGATTTTTATTTCTTTTCTTTTTTTTTTTCTGTTTCGTGTGTTTCTTCTAGAGATCTAATGAGAGGAAGGATGATATGTCGTTTATTGAAGAGAAAAAAGATGAACATGGAGTAGAAGATCAAGATATGATAGATCTAAATCTTGTAGCCATTCAAAGATATGAAATACAATGTCAGATCTGCAGTGCAAGTTAAACCAGAGTTATATTTTCATTATATTAATTTTCTTTGTAATCTTTGTTTAGTTGTTATATTTCTTTTCTTGTAATTAGAAATGTAGTCACAATTTAGCAAAAAGCATGCTTTTTGAAATCTGTAGACAATGTTGAACTTCATATCTTTGTCGTGTTGTGTGAATGACAAATTGTAATAGCCCATCTCAGGTTATTGTCAATCAACTTTTCGGAGTTGCCTCTTTTTGTTTTAATTTAATCATAATTATGGCCTGGAAAATAAAAAAACTCAACTACATATATATTCTCATATTCTGAGAAATATGGAACTTTCACCTAAATCCTCAAATTAATAAAATTTTAATACACACATGATACATGATTTTTCATGACCGGCAAACTTCTAATTAGTAAATTTTTTTTTTTTTTCCAATCCCTCTTTTTCAAACTTCAAGCCTCGCCTATAGAATTTATAACAAAACAGTAGTTTATTCGCAATCTGTCGTCGACAAAATTAACGACAAAACATATATAGTAAGGTACTCCCTCCGTTCCATAATTATTGTCCAGTTTTACTAAAATGAAAGATTTTATTTTTAGTCAAACTTAACTATATTTTACCTTGAACAACCGGATATACCTCTATATAAGTAATTGTTTAAACACAAAGATTTTAATGGATAATGTTTTTTACTAAGGACAAATGTGTAACTTGATCCATAAAAAGTTAAATTGGACAATAATTTTGGGACAAAATTTTTTGGGCAAAGTGGACAATAATTATGGGACGGAGGGAGTATAAAAAAAAAACTTTCCGCAACAATTCAGCTTAATCATGATTGCAGAGACAAATCAACGCCCACTTTTTATCTACATATAGATTTTTTTTACAGCCCCCTTTTTTTGTTTATTAATATCTGGCAGCGGTACTATATGCCTTTAATTTGCACATGATAATAGGTTGATTATTGCTCCATCGGTCTGAACATAATTTAAAATAAAATAATATAACTGTCATTTTGGTATAGTAGATGGATGGAGTAATTCATTTTCATCCGAGCTCAAGTTTTGGATTTTCATAGACTCGAAAAACGCATCTAGCTAGTAACTTGGTTTGTGAGTTGCGACAACTTCATAGAATGGTTTTCTTCTTTTTTCTTTTTTTTCTCTTTTCCACATTTGTGACAATTCATAAAAGTCTTATGATTGGTTTCTATTAGCACTCTTTTTTTTCGTAATGCATGTATTATAGAATTTTACACTATTTGAGTGAGATAACTGATCAGGCAGGAATTGAGCAAAGTTGAAGCAGAAAAGTCTCATTTTTCCGAGTCAGAACACGAAAAGATTAGTGATGCAAAAATAGTATTAACAAAAAAACAAATTGGCAGTGGAAGTATTGTATATCTTAACAATGAATTGGTTTATCAAAAACCTCATATTTTTCATTTTATAACAAATATAAGTGATATTATTTGATTTGAACTCTCTCTCTCTCTCTCTTTGTCACAAAATAAAAACACATAATATGTTACACTTTTTGTCGAAGTCTCTATAAAATGAGAATAGACTGATACATTATTTTGACCGGCAAATTAAACCAATATATTGGATCATCTATGATAGCGTGTACGCAAACAATGATACATACGTTCCTCACAATTGTGCATTGCCCTTTTGGTGAAGCTTACAAGCCTACAACTATGTAGCATATACCAACCATCTTGGAGGTAGACACCAACTTCATATATATTGGACACCATGTATATCATATTATCATGGAAGAAAGAACATATATTATAACTAGTATGAGGATGTGAGAACCCGGCAAAAACACGTTTGAAGTAATCAAGCACGATAAAATTGTATTTAGTAATTTTTTTTTCTCAATGAGAGTGTACAATTCTTTTTAGAATAATTGAAATTTCTATTTGAACTGTCTAAAGTTAGACAAAATTAAGATTAGTGTCAATGTCAAGAAAAGCAAAGGAAAAGCAATGTTTTGAAAACTAGACCGGAAGGTGAACCGTTAGCGTGACTGTGTTGATAGATTTACCGAATTAACCAGTTACCTCGTTCCTCGAAACCAGTGAAACCGGTTAAAATAATATTAAAAAATATTTAAGAATTAATTTTAAAAAAAAATATATGTAAAAACCGGTTTAATCGGTACCGGTTTCCGGTCACACTACGTTTCTTCCCAAGTTTGACCGAGTTTGATCGGGTTATACAAAATCTATTTTTTTATAAAAATCGGATCGGTGAGGTTTCTAGTTCTCGGGCTAACCGATTCGACTGCCCGGGCCAGTTCGGTTTTGAAAACATATAGGAAAAGTGTGGTCATCTCACAAATATTGATGACTATTAAAACAAACTTGTATGCAAAAATCATATACAACATCCTGGGTTTAACTTTAAAAAAGGCATAGAGAGCGTAAGATTGGACAAAAACAACGAAATAGAAAAGTTGTACTCCCTCCGTCCCATAATTATTGTTCACTTTGCCCAAAAAATTTTGTCCCAAAATTATTGTCAAATTTGACTTTTTATGGATCAAGTTACACATTTGTCCTTAGTAAAAAACATTATCCATAAAATCTTAGTAGTTAAACAATTACTTATGTAGGGGTATATCTGGTTGTTTAAGGTAAAATATAGTTAAGTTTGATTAAAAATAAAATCTTTCATTTTAGTAAAACTGGACAATAATTATGGGACGGAGGGAGTATCACTATTTGTTGCTCTAAAACTGTCTTAAAAAGATTGGTTGTACTGTACTACTGTAATCAAAAGAAAAGAATCCATTAATCACTTCGTTTATTTTTCTTTCGTAAAATGAATTGGGTAAAAGTTCAAAACACTCGTACTGGGAAAGAATTATTTCTTTTTGCATTGTCTGTGCTTAATCTCCCTCTAATTTTAAACTGACATGGTGTGTATACCAACATTGCTTTCATCTGTGGTTGAGTTTCTTGACTGTTTCCAATTGACTGAATCGTGAATTAATTTATCTGGAATGTCGTCAGAACAAGTTGCCGCCAATTTTATAATCCGATTGTTGATTGCTATATTATGGTTTGGAATCTAAAATGTCAGTCCAGGTTATAAGTTATAACGTTGTCAACATTTGTCTTTACTCTACTAATACTTAGCACAAAAAAGATTCCAAATTGTCAGCAGAATCAAAGATATCATGAATTTTTGCTAATTTGCTTAACTATTTTTTGTTTATGATATGCGTTATTACTCCGGCTTTTTGGTGAATGATTCTTCTGCGTTACTCGCTCCCATCATATTTATAATGAATTGACTTTTTTGAGTGGGTGGTTAGTCATAATATTAATGATGAAGTATCTTGAAATTTCTAGGTTTGATTTTGTTTATTTTCTCAAAATTATCCACCCCACGTCTATGCGTACTATATACGGGGGCGGAGCTACGTACAAGGGAAGTGGGACAATTGCCCCAGCTAGAATTTTTTTTTTTTGCTATTAACTCCTTGAAATTTTAAAATTTTCTTTAAAAAAATTAATTTTTGTCCCAGTTAAATTAAAAATATTAGAAGCAAGTATATTAGATTAGAAATTTAAAAAATTTTACCCCATCATATGTAGGGGGCTTGGCTCCGCCCCTGACTATGTATGTTTACTAGCTAGTTGATGAGTGAGAAATCCGTGGATGAATTGCATGTGATTATTAATCTTAATTTGGCAAAACAAATAGAATTAAAGTCACATGTATTTAAGAAAGCAAATTTTGTTACTGATGAATGTGGCTTCTTCAAATCTTGTAAGGTTCCGTTTGCCTCTTTTATCTGTTGATAAAAATTTTACAACGGTTGAAACATGATATAATCAACATATCATATCCAGGTAACATTAGGTTTCGACCTTTTTCATATTACTGAAGAAACAAATATCTTTTCTTTTGGCAAATTAATTATTTTTTGCCTCATAATAAGATTTGAATATACCACTAGATCAGTGGGTTTAATATACCCCAATGAAAAAGGTTAAACCCCTATTGCATAAGCATTTAAGGACTTTTGAATATTTCCTACCCTAAAATAAAAACTCCAAAAATATTTCTCTTTTTCTTTTTTAAAACCCCAGAAAAAAAAAATCCCCATACATGTATATAAGTGATTCACTACAATATTATCATTACCAAGCTAAAACCTCATTCTTAAAATACAATCGCTTTTCTTTTTTCTGTCATTGCTAAACATTTCCAAACCAATTGCAGCAAAAGGACCAAAATAAAGGGTCGTTCTAGGTCTACCTATTTATGATTTTTATCTTTTCTTTTTAATCTTTTTTTTTGAAAAACAAGATGTTTATCTGCAAATATTGCATATTTGAGTACTCCAGTTACTAACCTTTCATCCTTTATCTTATTGGTCTTCCAGAGGTCAATATTACCCCTTCTTTGCTTTTATGTATATTTTTGAAACCGTTGTGAGAATCTTAAGGCTTTACTGATAAGCTATAGATCAAAAAGAGAGTGTTTCCATCTGAATTTATACGCATAAACGTCAACATATTAAATGGACTTTATCAACTTATCTTCTTCCAGAGTTTGATCGAAGCAGGCAGGTGTTTCATGTTTCTTTAGTATAAATCAAGAAAGCTGTCATTGTTCTTACGAAATTAATCGTATCATCAGTAGATTAAACTTTTTTTTTTTTTTTAAAAAAAAGGCCAAATAACGCATGAAGTAAAGAATAATCATTCATAAAACAATATTATCATTCATAAAAATCAGGGTCCAATTCCACCAAGGTGTATCTACTTACGAGATTTGTAATTACTAGCGACAGTGAACACTTGTATTATACATAAAAAAAAAAAAAAAAATTATAAGAGCGATTTATATTCTGGGGTCGTGGTTCCCCACAAGGAAACCAATAATTCATTATGCAAATTGGGAAAAAATAAATAATTAAACCCAATGGGAGACGAGATCATCAATCATGCATGTTCAGTGGCTAATTTGTAAGATTTCCCAAATTTTAGAAGTTGACTTGAACAAGTTACTCATATTTTATGATGTGGTATATTCCCGTTTAAAAGAAATAGTCCATTTCCATTCATTTAACACTGTAATTTGCCGATTCTAGATACCTCAAAAACTTATGATGAGATTCCCTTGTTGAAGCTGTATTATTCCCTTCATTTCACTTGAGATGAGATTCCTTCGATACCTGGGGAAATTTTGGGATGAGAGATTCCTGGTTGCAGGCTTGCCAGCCGATACTTGAGAATAATGGAAATGATCGAAAGTTTTTTTTTTTTTTTTGTCTTTGTGTTTTTTTTTTCTTTAAATGCAAAAAGAAATTGTTTTCATAGTTCAATACACCATTTTATTTTTATTTTTTTTGATATTTTTATTACGAAGCAGAACATGAATTATTTGGACGGTGGATCGCATAGTTTTTTTTTTTTACTAATTACGAAGTGTAATTAATTAGACGAAATGAAAATGGACTCTTCTTGAGGGAGGGGGTGGGGGTGAAGGAAGGGTCTTTAAAGCTGGACTAGTAATTTAGGATAAACTGAAATTTTGAAAAATGAGAATATTACCATGAAATTGAGAGATGTACATGATCCAACTTAATTTATTAAAATTAGTCATTCCACATCGTAAAAGTTGATAATAACCGTTGATTTAAATTTTTTTAGTTTACATCGTTCATTGTATCGATAAGGTTACTCATGCTAAATACGACCAAAACAGAGAAAAAAAAAATCATTAATTTACAAAGTTTTGGTCCTTATATACGTCGTGATTCATGACAAGTGACACTCCCTATAAGTAACACCATCTACCATCTATCATTTCCTAAACCAAATATTTACACTTTTCTTCCAAACAATTTTGAACCAAAAAAAACACCATTCTAATGGGTTCGCTTACCATTCCAAACCAAAAACCTCATGCGGTTTTAGTTCCATATCCAGCACAAGGCCATATAAACCCTTTCATGAGACTAGCCAAGCTTTTACATGCAAAAGGCTTCCACATAACCTTTGTCAACACCGAATTCAACCACAATCGTCTGATCAGGTCAAAAGGTTCCGACTCGGTCAAAGGGTTCCACGATTTCAAGTTTGAGACCATCCCGGACGGGATGCCGGCGTCGGATAAAGATGCGACGCAAGATGTGGTTATGCTGTGTGATTCTACTAGGAAAACTTGTTTGGTTCCTTTTAAGGAGCTTCTGGTGAGGTTGAATTCGTCTTGTCCTGAGGTTCCTCCTGTGAGTTGTGTTATTTCGGATGGTGTTATGAGTTTTGCTATCAAAGCTGCTGAGGATTTAGGTATTCCGGAAGTTCAATTCTGGACTGCTTCTGCTTGCTCTTTTGTTGGATATTTGCATTACAGGGAATTCATTCGGAGAGGAATTGTCCCTTTTCAAAGTAAGATTTATGCGCATAATTACTACTAAAATCCGTTGTTTCATTACATTGTTTTTTTTTTTAATCCTATTTTGATGTTGACGTATTTTCTCGGTCTTAAAAATATTTATGTTTATTAAATTAATTAAAATAGTACAATAGACATTATTTCTTTTAATGGAAAAGAGGGAGTATGAATTTAAGATTCCTTGGTGGTTAAATGACCTTATTTTTGTGCTTCATGTGACGTTTCCACGCACAAACCAATCAAATTAGAACAACATGAAACACCACATTTTTGTGAAATAAATTACATTGTATTCAAAAAAAAAAAAAGAAAATTAATAGAATTAATAATGGATTTATTTAAAGATAATTAGACAGGTATAATAGTCCCTTGTTCTTCAGTTCCCTGAATTTGTTGAATGTTTCAATGCAACAGATGATGACTACCTAACAGATGGCACTCTTGATGAACCTGTTGATTGGATTTGTGGGATGAGCAATGTAAAATTCAGGGACCTTCCAAGCTTTTTAAGAACAACTGATCCCAATGACATAATGTTAGATTTCATGGGAGAGGAAGCACAGAGTTGCCTGAAAGCTCCAGCCATTATGTTCAACACCTTGGATGAATTGGAGGAAGAGGCACTCAATGCAATCATTTCCAATTTCAACTACCCCAACATTTACACAATGGGTCCTCTGCCTTTGTTGAGTAAACACATTGTTCCCGAAACCCGAATCAATTCCCTGAATTCAAGCCTGTGGAAGCCCGACACGAAAGTTTTCGATTGGTTGGATGAAAAGGAACCAGGATCAGTCATTTATGTGAATTATGGAAGTGTGACAACAATGTCTGAAAATCATTTCAAAGAATTTGCTTGGGGACTTGCAAATAGTGGGCAAAACTTTTTGTGGATCATTCGTCCTGATGTTGTCAATGGAGGCGAATCGACAAAGAACTTGCCTGATGAATTTCTCCAGGAGATTCAGGATCGAGGGTTCTTAACAGGTGCGAAAGAATATGATTTTATTATAATTTTTTTTTTTTTTGTATTCTGTTTTATTACATCGTACGTACTAGGAAAAAAAAAATAGTCTAGTTTGTTATACTATTTTAGTTAACGACATATGTATACTGTTTTCAATAACAGGTTGGTGTGCTCAAGACAAAGTGTTGGAGCACCCGGCAATTGGCGCATTTCTGTCACACTGTGGTTGGAACTCGATGACGGAATTAATTTCGGCAGGTGTCCCTGTGATCGGATGGCCGTTTTTCGCCGATCAGCAAACAAATTGTCATTATGCGAGTGAAAAATGGGGGATTGGAATGGAAGTGAATCACGACGTGAAGCGAGACGACGTTGCCGCGCTGGTGCGGGAAATGATGGTAGGAGAAAGAGGGAAGGAAATGAGGATCAAGGCTAAAGAATGGAAGAAGAAAGCAGAAAAAGCCACTGATGTTGGAGGATCGTCCTACAACAATTTTGACAAGTTCATCCGGGAGGCTCTTCATTTCAAGGGTTGATTGATTCACTGAATTTTTCAGCCACTGCATATATTAATTGTTTTTTTTTTTTTTTTGTGTATCGATTTATTTATGTTTCAAATTTTCAATCAACATTATGGTGCCTGACAGCCTGAGCATGGTTCTTCTATACGTGTAATCAAGAATGTTGTTGATCGTTGAATGTGATTTACCAGAAAAGAAAATAAAAGAATGTTGATTGTGAAATCATCAGTTCCAGCTCCCATTTGGTTATGGAAGAATATTTACGTTAACATTTCTGGAATTATTTAAGCAACCTTAACTTTTATTTTTATTTTTTTTTCCTTTTTTTTTCCTCTTAATATCAAGACTAGAATGGTATCTAGCAACAAGTATATATTAACTTTTTGGCTTTAATTGTATATGTGAGTTTCACATTAGATTATCAGTTCAAACTCTTCCTGAAAATAAGACGGTAAGACGATGTTTTATTAAAAGTTGGAAAAAAAATTCCGTATAACGCATCAATGATTCATAAATCAAATGTACTTGTTACCTGTGGGTTTTCTTTTGTATATGGTTCAAGATAAATAATTATATTTTTGTAGTAAAATAATCCGAATAAGTTATATTTAAATTTTTATTGATAACAGTATGTAAAATTTGTTGGATGACACACAAATCGGTTGAATTTCAAACAAGAATCATAAACTACTTAGTTCTAAAATGTGATGAATGAGTTTCTCTTATTAATACAATTTAATATTTAGGCTTTTACAACAACATGGGGTGGTGGCGCAGTTGGCTAGCGCGTAGGTCTCATAGCTTCTGAGTTATCCTGAGGTCGAGAGTTCGAGCCTCTCTCACCCCATTTCGTCTTTTTTGGATTCTTTCACAATTACCCAGCCCGAAAGCTTTCACTGTTTATAGTTGCAGGCATGCTCGAATCATGGGGTCTAACTCAGACGCCGATTCACCCAGATGATCCTTTTATTGATAGTGGGATTAATGGAGCCACATGCTAATCTATTCTGGTTCTGGAAATTCTAACCATGGCACATACAACACTAAATGTTTTACTAATAAGAAAAAAAAAACCCGACCATTTCTCAAACTTAAATAAATGTAATACCACCAATATAACAGGTTTTCTAACTATGTACACCTCTTACAATGACCTACTCATGCTGATCCCATAAGAGTGCTCCTAGTAACACACACAGTTCAATTCGAGTCTGTTTGACAACCAAAAACTGCTAGCAAAATTGGAGTGCATCGCAATTAGAAAATTAGCAAATTGGTCATCCGCTTATGTTACTACTGAGAGTAACATTCGTTGAATCAAAAGTTAAAAGTTGTGTTTTTCTAACTGTATTTTTTTTTCTTATCAATGGTTGTTAGACGATTTTCATTGAATTAATAAAATTTTATTTCTCAAGAAAGTTAACACAATGACACAACTCTCAAGTGCATGAGAGCCTAAAAACCTAACACGTACCTGAAGTCCTAAACCTTCAACGAAGGATTTTGTATTTGAGGATATTTAAGCACCCGTTCAACTATTGTAAGAAAAGCAAGACTGTATTACGGTAGTTTCTACGGCAATAAGCCAATAACTCCATTAATAAAGACGACTCAAACTTATTGTAGTATAAATAACATTGTTATATCATATTTAGACTCTCATATTTATATCAGAAAAAATGGACGCCGGATTGAAATCTCACCCTAAAATATAAAATCTTCATCATCGGAAGAAACACCCTTTTGAGTCTTTTCAACATCGTCACCTGATGAGGAGGAGCCAAGAAGTTCCGAAAGCTCCAGCCGAAATTCGAATCCTCTGATATAATGCCCAAGAAGCATGCACCAAATCATCACCCGAGCCAGATAATCCCTTGTCAGAAATATCTGCCGTTGATTTAGCTCGGAAATACTCTGTGTCGTCGGATCAGGATACACCTCCGGGGAGAGAATGGCGAACAGAGCATAAACAACAGCATTGACAGCTTCCTTCACCACCGGACAAATTGGTTCCGGCATCTCTCCGGCTACCAGCTTTTCGGGTTTCGATGATTTCAAATACTCCAACAACTCATTCCTCCGATGACCATCTTCATCATCTCCCACACTCTGTTTCAGTTGATCAAGAACACCCATTTTCCTTTGAACCTCCAATAGCTCCTTTTTCAAAGCTAACAAACGAGATTTCAATTGAATCATATACTTCAGAGTTTTTATTGTCAGGTCATCAAACTCTGCCTTTTCGAGTTTAATTTCTTGTTCTGCTTTCTCAGAGGAACTATCATAATCCAATTCAAAATTCTTTTCGAGATAGAGTTTATTTTCAACATTCTTCAAAGCGTACCCTGCCATTATTGAAGTGAATAAAAAATCGGAGAGATGCTCCCATGGAGATTCAATGTGGATTTGGAATTTATCCGACGGGAGTAATCCTAACATCTCTGATATGCTTCTTTCCATGGCGTCTACAGTTTCCGGTGAAACATCTTTCTGAATTACGCTAATGTCTAGAGGCTCTATTTCTCTTGTCAATTTAGCAAACGCTTTTCTCTTGGAACGGAATTTCTCGTCGACGTCGGCGTTAAAAGCAGAGTCGCCGGAAGAAGAAGCAGAGCAGCTTAAAGTCATCCTTCTTGAGCTTCGGGATGCCACCAACGAGATGGGTTTTATCCGGCGGGGGAAAGATAGATTGGACTGCGACGGCTGAGAAGAGCGGAGCGAGGAGGAGGAAGGAATACATGGAAGACGAGAAAAAGAGAGGGAAGAAGAGAGAATTGTTGCCATTTGAACTTTCGAAGGTCACAACGAAATTTGTATCAAGAATATAATTTTTTTTTTTGGGGTGAAAATAAACCATAAATTTATTTATATAGAAGACCAAATCAATGGTCAACCTAATACAAGATAGAGAAGGAGGATTCAATTGTAGTGACCTGATGGTTATATATGATATTCAGTCTAATTAGAATGGGAGGATGACTTACTAAATCCTAATCCTAATAATAAACATAAAAAAACTTACCCTAAAGTCACATCCTAAAAGGGAATTCAGTGTATAAAATCAAGTAATAACATTGAATTTCTGAATTTTATTTTATTTTATTATAGTGTCCGCCTACTATAACAGTAACTAATCTCATCTGTAGACATTTCGATAGATAGGATTCTTAATATTTATTTTCGTTTCCTTATGAATTTACGTACCATAGACACAATGTTTTAAAATTTCAATAACCAAGTTTTCTAAATTTAATTCAACGTATGCTAACTATGAAATGTACTTAGTTTGTCCTTAATGGAGAATTCTGGGGCAAATGTAAAAATATATTTATTAATTTTATTGACATCAAACAAATCCGACCTTAGCTCAGTTGGTAGAGCGGAGGACTGTAGTGGTTGCCAGACATCCTTAGGTCGCTGGTTCGAATCCGGCAGGTCGGATGAACTTTTGGTTTTTTTCCTTATTTTTTGGAGGGTCAATTTTTCAAATCTAATCTCAGGGGGGCTTTGTCTTTCAATAAGATCCAACTATTACATTACTCCAGAGGGCTCAAGATGATGAACTAAACAACAACAAAATGAGAGTCAGCTCTTCGTTCCAAACCTGTTCGTTGTTAATTTGTGATTCACAATGTTTCTTATCTCATTCTAATAGTTTGTTTTGTTGAACTTTTTTGGCCATAAACTTAACTAATGCTTGTATTTTAGTAACATAAATATCTCCAGGTTTCCAGTTCAAGCCCGAGTGATAAATTTCCAGCATTCGGCAAGAGGAGGAAGATTAACCAACACCATCACAAATGAAACCCTTTCAAAATTGGTAACAGAGGACAAATGTTGCACAATATATAGCTTCTTCACCAGCCTATAATATCGATTTGTAGAATAAATCATTTGGAAGTATACTAATAATACATATCCTCTTTACATCGGATATCACTTTCCAGACGACATTAGTCCTCCTTGTTCCTGCTGCCATTTATCGCATTCTTAGAAACCGGGGAAGGACTAACAAGGAATGACTTCAAATGCTTGTAAAGTTCCTTGGATGTCTCTATATTGATTGCATGACCTGCATTCTTAATAATTACCAGCTCCGCATTTTCTCCCAAATGCCTGAAAAGGTTTTAATCATCGAAACCACATAAAAATTTGAGTGATATCATGAGGTTCCAGTTGTGAACGAGCCACTATAGTATCTCGATTTTTAAGTCAAAAGAGTCCAGGAAGAAGAGAATTTCAATGAGCCATTAGGACATACATTCCCTAGACTTGCCTACTGACTGCAGTTTATGAATTCTATACTACAAGAATGGAAATTGGAGGTAACTTAGTTTACATCTGAATTCTGATACGTCATCTAGGTTGTAAGCGATGCAGTTTTAATGGAAACTGACCTTTTTAATCTGTGACCTAACTCCAGTGGGAAGATTTTGTCATGTTCGCCCCATATGATCAGTGTGGGCTGCATGGAGCATAGAACATTGCACTATCAGTGAGAAACTGCGACACATGTGTTTTAACATATTAAAGATTTCATAATAATATGAGGAACACAGACTTGAGTAATCTTCGGAAGATTGGAGAACTTCCTATCTTTGTGTAATGCCTGAATCAACTCTATTTTTTCTTGACGATTTTCTACACACATCACCTGCGAAAGAAATCCAGAAATACAAAATCAATTCCGGGACAATCTAAAAAGTTTCTTCAGATGCAAAGAATGAATCAATGAACAGATACTGCATTTAAGCTGATTCAGGATGGACTTTGTAAGCAGTAAGCAATGTATTTCCATCGAGACAGAGAACAAATTTGCTGCAAAATGACTCTTGACTCTTGATAAGACTCATATAAGATAGTAGCCTGAAATGTTTAAGTTTCTCGTGTCCCTATAAAAGATCTACAATGACAAAGCCATATGCGACCCCTCTTGGCAACATCCAAGTAGTCAAGGCTTCTCTTGACAGAATCACTTCAAGTGTCTACAGTAGCAAGAGTGAAGTAGCGGCAAGACTGTAATGACCTAATCTCAATGCTGTTTTATACAAATACCAAAAGAACTTCACCAGAAATGGAGTTTGAGAAAGACATCACTTCTAGCAAACACTCAGTATAAGAAAAACTGGTTGGACCTGAGAAACAACAGATCTTTTCAAGCTACATAAAAACCAATATGAAAACAAAACCAGATAGAAATGTCCAACAATGTTGAAACCAGTCAAATTGGTGTAAATCATCAAAGGAGTAGTTGGTTCAGAGGCAACTAAAAATTTTCCCTTTCCTCCTTCAGAGGATGTCAGTAGATAAGAATTTCTTTCCCAAAATGTTATGTTTTCAATATTTGGTGTTATGTTGTGAGTGTGTAACTGGGATTATACCATCCTTTCTTTAATAGCAGCAGCATTTGGTAGAAAATGCTTGAGAATTCATTTCATAATTAGCTTCGATGTTTGCAGCTGAGCTAAAGATGAACTTCATGTTATATCCATAAAGACAGCCATTGGAAAACCAAACAGAAAACGGAGAAAAAGGGACATCAGCCAGTATGGCAAGCCTACTTTTATCCAGGGTAACCACTAGTCAGTTTGTGAAACTATCATCCCATCAACAGCACATTGCATCTCCATGAGCACCAAGAATTCATCAAAAGTTCTAATTTCAGCATAAAGTTTCGTTTTCAACATGATGATGGGAACAACTAGATGTATGATCTAAATTCCCACCTCATCAACTACCGAACGATTACGACTAAGAGAGTCTATCAAAATGTAATCTTTGACATATTAATCAATTCATTCCTCATGAAAGAGTGAATTCATTCAATCAGGATGCTGATCAAAATGTTATCTTCATGTCAATGTATCTAAAATAGAAATTCTATATCCTTTTTTATCAATCCATTTCAGAAAATGAAGAAGAAAACTTCAAAAAAGCACTTACATCAATGAAATCAGCAAGGAAACAAGAAGGGATATTCTTCTGTGGCTTATAGAAGGAAAGCTTCATCAATTCCCTCAACTTTTCTGGGGTCCGAGGCAACAAAATATCAGCAGCCTCATCCACACTCTTCACCTGAAACATTCCATCCTCCATATCCTTTTCTTCCAAGCACACCCCAGAACATCCAAGCACCAGCTTCTCAACAGCATCAGGAAACTGCAGAGCCATACTGTACCCAACAAACCCACCATAGCTAATCCCCACAACAATCATTTTCTTGACCCCATGAGCCTCCATGGTCTTCATCACACACTGAGCTTGAAAAGCTTCAGTCCTTTCTGGCCTAGTGGTGTATGATTCCCCAAAAAAAACCAAGTCTGGAACATAGATGTTGAATTTAGAGGACAAGGGTGAAATGAATTCATTCCATTGCCACATTGCATTGGCTCCCATCCCATGGATGAGAAGCAGAGTGGGCTTGTTTTGTTTGTGAGTTTTTGGGACCCAAAAGTGCATGATTGTGCCATCTTTTAGGTCAGTGGTGGATGACTTTAGGCCTGCACTAGAAAACGAGTATTTGTAACAGGTATTTCTTGATGCTGTGAAGCTGAAACAATTAGCCATGGACTGGTTTTGATGGCAGAGATGAGAAGATGATTGATCAAAACACCCGGGGGAACGTAAAGTGATGAATGAGGAGAATCAGAGTTATCGGATTTAGGAAAAACTTGGCAGGAAATCTAGGAAAAGAATATTCCTTCAAGTAAGTATTCTTGTGTTGGTCACTTGTCAGCGGCAGAAATTGGAGTCAGTTTGAATCTGCTTAAGTTAGGTATTTAGAGAAAGACTAATTTCGATGATGATAATGGAGGAGTATCACTGTATCAAAGTACCGTTACTGTGCTAGTATTATTGTTCAGTTTAGATTTTCACTTTTAGTTCAAATTGTACTAAAAATGAAATCTCAAACTGGACAATAATTTTGGGACGGAAGGAGTAATTATTACAATAAATTATGTGAGAACTATGGGTCTCACAAGTGATGGATTCTTGACTTGGAGTGACCGAAATACCACATGTCCATTTCCAGCGTTAATTTTCATGAATAATGTCGGCTGGGGAGGGTAATAAACAGAAGAAGAGATCACCACGTTTCTGTTCTTTTCTTTGTCCCCCTTTTTCTTTTTCTATATTTTTCTTTTAAATGGGTTATTTATATGTTTTGAGTTTTGATCGAGTTTTTTTTTCTTTTTCACCTTTGTTTTCTTCAGTCTTTCTGCAGCTTAATAATACTCTCTCCTCAGGACCTATTTATGAAACACAATTTATATCAAACTGTTCAAAAGAAAGGTCCGGAGAAAGTATAAGAAATGTCCCTCAGCTGAGCCTCAGAGCCAGACACTTTTATTTCCACGTATTAAAGACAGAGATTACATCAAGAAAAGAATGATATGTAACAAAAATGCCACTAAATCTAAAAACTCAAAAGGTTTGCTCACCTAAATCAGAAGTAGTTGCATTGCTCAAGGTAAAGCACCAATCATGAACTTGCAGTTCAACAAACCTACCATCCGAGTTTGCTAAAGGTTAACTCTTTTTTTCCCTTCATTTGTTGTCATCCCTTTAAGGGAATTGTCAGCATAATGCGAATTTCTGATATACAATGTTCACATCTTATGTGCGAAGCTTAGCGGAACTTAACTTTGGCCAACAAAACTGAAGACCTCCGGATAGTAGAAGTGAAGGCTAATCAAACTAGGCCTTGCTTGGTATAACTACAATTAAGAAGAAAACTGAATGTGTCAGCATCGCATGACGATTTCTTCTTGATAATCATGTCAGGAAAATCATTGTACTGATTAGACTAAGGGGCAGAGAAGAAAGAGATGCTATTTTCAGTGACAGCCTAAGTAGTAAATCACAAAACAATGGCCGACCAAAATGGATGGTAGTGTGCTAGATGAAAGCGTTACCTGCATTGCTGTTTGACATCTCTTTGAACACGTTAGCTTTGCCGATGAACAGAAAAATGCATCTCCAGAAAGTCTGGAGCTGTGTATCCGTAGTTCTGCGTACATTGCCTGTCTTGACCAATTCTTGAAGCAGAACTTGTAGCCAAAGATCAACCTACCTCTTAGGCCAGGTTTTCCTATTATGTTACAATGAACTCCAACCTGCTCTCTTTTTCACTTCTCTATCCTTCATAATATTTCTCACCCTTTCTACCTCCTCCCACAACCCGACAGAACTATACATATCCGAGAGTACTACATAGTACCCATCATTTTCTGGGTCAGATTCAATAGCAAGCTTTGCGATTCTTCCACCTGTTTCAGCATCATTGTGAACTTTGCACGAACTTAACAAAGAACCCCACAACCCTGCATCAGGAGGTATTGGCATTGATAAAATGACTTGTTCGGCTTCAACTAGATTACCTGTACGACCAAGAAGATCGACCAAGCAAGCATAATGCTTTAATGTGGGTGTCAGACCATAATAGTCCATTCTATTAAAAAGGCTTTTGCCTTCTTCAACCATTCCTCCATGAGTACAAGCAGAAAGTATAGCAAGAAAAGTCAGTTCATTTGGCCAAACCTTTGACTGTTCCATCAGTTGATGAAATACCTCCATTGCAGATTCCACATCTCCATGCATTCCATATCCTGCAATCATCACATTATAAGCAACAGTGTCTCTTTCAATCATTGAGTTAAATACTTCTCTGGACTTCTGAAGGTGCCCACACTTTGCGTATAGATCAACAAGAGCAGTATCAAGTGATAAATTAGGTCCAAGTCCTACTCTTTTAATATATTTGTGTATCTCCTCTGCTTTCTCCACAGATGCAACTTGGGCACAAGCAGAGAGTAAAATCACCAGTGTAGCTGTGTTAGGTTTGATGTCTTCAGAAATCATTTTATCGAAGAGTGTTAGAGCCTCAAAAGCTTGCCCGTTGTGAGCATATGAAGAGATCAACACATTCCATGTAACAGTATCCTTCTCTGTCCTACAAAACAATCTTCTTGCGGTGTTTGAATCCCCACTTTTCCCATACATGTCTATGAGCGAATTGGCGACAGATACACTCTCAGAAGCCGAGCTTTTTATAGCATGGCAGTGCAGTGACCTGCCTAACCTGATGGCTCCCAACCGAGAACAGCATGAAATTACAGACACCATGGAGTTCAAATCATACTTGATTCCCAGATGCTGCATATTTCTGAAAAATTCAATGCATTTAGATTCTAGTCTTGCTTTGGCAAAGCCAGTAACTATAAGGTTCCATGTCTCAGAGTCCTCTCCATTCACTTGATGAAACAAATTTACTGCCAGACTTGCTAATCCAAATTTACAATACATCGATAACAATCCATGATAAACCATCTGATTCAAATCATAATCTTGCCTCAAAATAAAGCCATGAAAAACCTTGCCTTCCAATATTCTCATTGAATTGCCTAATGCCAAAAGCACACAACTAATCACAATCCCATCCGGATGAATGCCACAATTCAACATTTCCAAAAACATCTGCACGCATTCGTCGATATATTCAACTCTAGCATATAGCCCAATCATCAATGTCCACAACATCAGATCCTTATAGACAATTTCTGAAAACGAAAGGCGAGCTTCCTCAAGAGCACTGCATTTAGAATACATTGACAGAAGGGACGACTGAATAGAATGTGAACAACTCATTCCTGATTTTAGTGATAACCCATGTAAGCATTTACCCTCTACCAAAGCACCCAAATTTCCACAAGCTTGAAGACCACCTTCCACAGTCCGGGAGTTTGGCCTCTCATCAACCCCACCGTTCTTATGCATCTCGCAAAAACATTCCAACGCCTTCAAACTGTCCTCATTCTGTACATACCCAATCACAAGTGCAGTCCATGCCACCACATCCCTCTTCAGAATTTCATCAAACACAAGAGAAGCATCATCCATGAAACCACATTTCGAATACATATACACAAATGACGACCCAACAGCAGGGTTTGCATCGAAAAGATTCAATTTTGACACAATACCATGAATCTTAATCCCATTTTCAACCAACCCAAGCTCCGCACAAGCCGAAACTACCATAGGCACCGTAAACTGATCAGGGAAAGTGTTGGAAATTCGCATTTGGTCAAAAAAATCAAGAGCTAATGAATAGCTCCCATTCGAAAAATGGGCTTTGATTATTGAATTCCAAAGAAAAGGGTCTTTGCATTGCGTTGAATTAAAGACTTTGGTTGAGGAGTTAATATGGTTCAGTGTAGAGTAGAGTGAAATGAGCTTTGACGATATAAAAAGATTGTTTCTTTGACCACTTGTAAGGATGTATGCGTGTAATTTTTGAAGGGACTTAAGGTCTAAGAATTGGCTCGAAAGGAAAGATTTGATGCGGTTGTTAACGTTGTCAGAAATTACGTCAGAAGTTAAGGAAGAATAGAAGCGAATGGACCAAGGAAAGATCTTGAATTTGTACATCAGGATGTGAAGTTCAAGTAATGAGTATTCTTGTTGTTTTGGCTGACTAATAAACCTTAAAAAGGCCGAAATAGGGAACCTTTTTACTATTAGTACAGATTCTACATCCAAATAGACGTCTTTTTAAATATATCTGTCAAGTGAGAAACATTCTCTTATGATAAAAAACTGTGGCCTATGCTTACGTCAATCTGCCGCCATAACTTTCAAAGAAAGTTTCGGACTTTAGTTGCTTTGTGTGTTGATAGGCCTCATGGGTATTGTAGGATTGCCACAAAATGTGATCCCACCATGGAAAAACCGAAGCATCAGACACCTGTTCGACGAATTGTCTCAAAGAAGAAACAGTCGAAGTTGATGAAGAGAGGAAATGTAGAGCCTAAAGTCTATATGAGGGAGACAATTTGGGGAATTTCCAAGTTGTTGAGGTATTACACTTGGGAATCTGCTCAAGAACAGCTTGAGAAGCTAGCAATAAAATGGGATTCTTACACTGTGAATCAAGTTCTCAAGACGCATCCACCAATGGAGAAGACTTGGTTGTTTTTCAACTGGGCTTCGAGGAAAAAAGGTTTTAAGCATGATCAGTATACTTATACTACTATGTTGGATATTTTTGGGGAAGCCAGGAGGATTGAGTCCATGAAGTATGTGTTTCATCAAATGCAAGAGCAAGGAATAAAGATAGATGTGGTTACTTATACTTCTCTGCTACATTGGCTGTCTAATGATGGAGATGTTGATGGAGCAACTGCTTTGTGGAAAGAGATGAGAGACAAAGGGTGCCATCCCACAACTGTCTCCTACACTGCATACATGAAGATCTTGTTTGATCACAACAGGGTAAGGGAGGCTACTGAGGTGTACAAGGAGATGATTCGAGTTGGTTGTTCTCCCAACTGTCATACCTACACTATTTTGATGGAACATCTTGCAAATTCCGGTAAGAATTATTCACTCTCTTTTTTATTTGATCCCTTGCCTTCAGTAGGCAAACTTGAATGACTTTGGTATATACAAAGGCCGGATTTATGTTATGGTTGTTATTTAGCTAAGCATGATAACACATGCTTCTTTTGTTTTAAATAGTAAAAATAATTAATGTTGCTGATTGTGCACTTACATCACTTCGTCATGGATCCAGGAAGATTCAAAGAAGCCATGGACATCTTTAACAAAATGCAGGTAGCAGGGGTACAACCTGACAAAGCTGCTTGCAACATTTTGGTCAGCAAATGTTGCAAAGCCATGGAATTAGAGTCGATGCAGAAAATTCTTGAATACATGAGAGATAAGACTCTGGTCCTTCGCATTTCTGTATATCGTGAGGCTATTGAAACTCTGAAGGCTGCTGGAGCAAGTGATGCACTCCTTAGACAGGTCAATCGTCATTTATCTTGTGAAAATTTTGACCAGAAAGAAACAGATAGACATATCAAAGAGATCATTGATATTAAATCTGCTATGGATCGAGCAGTTGTTTTGCACTTTTTGAGTAAGCAAAATTTTCCAGTTATTGACAAATTACTGGATGAATTGGCAAATAAAAATATTAAATTAGATTCAGGGCTAATTTCAATGGTTGTAGAAGTAAGTAGTCATAATTGCAGGGAATCTAGTGCTCTGCTAGCGGTAGAATACAGTTCGAAAGTAGGTATAATGGTTGAAAGAAGTGCATATCTGGCTTTATTCGGTTTGCTTATAAGAACAAATAAACTTGCAAAGGTTGTCAATGTTGTAGAGGAAATGATTAGGGCCGGTGTATCTCCTGGAAGTCAGCAGAGCGCTCTCCTTGTATATCGCCTCGGATTAGCCAGAGAGCTTGATTTAGCTGCCAAAGTGTTTAGTCTGTTGCCTGATGAAGAGAAGAATACTGCTACATATACAGCATTGATTGCTGCCTTCTTCTCTTCCGGGGAAACTGAAAAAGGTCTCGGAACCTTTGAACTTATGAGAACTCTAGGAATCGGCGCTTCACTGGGGACATATCGCGTGCTTTTAAACGGCCTTGAAAAAACTGGCCAAATTGGTAAGCTGGAAACTTACAGGAAGGAGAAGAAAATCCTGCAAGCCAAAAGCTGTACCCAAAATGTTTCACCAGAGGAAAAGATATGTGATCTTCTATTTGCAGGGGATTTTTTTAGTTAACATGTTAGAAAACCAGATAGATTGTATGCATTAGAAATATCATATCAGAAACAAAAAGCAGCTCAAACTGGTTGGAATCAACAGTTTGACAGACATATTGTTGTGTTCATCATGTAATGTATTTGTGTTTTTTTTTTCCAAGTTTCTTTAGTTCTTCTCTTCGCCTCCTATTATAAAACAAAAGAACTCTTCTTTTGGAATGACAGATGGTTGAAAAATCGGAAGGATGTTTTCTTTTAGACCACCTAATCTACCCCTAAAACTACTCCGCCCTAGGCTCATATATGTATAAAGCCTTTTCTTTCACAAAAGCATACTCTTTTTGTCAAGTGTATCGAAAATGTACAAAAATATGCTGGGATGAGACAGTTAATCATAATTTAATTTGAAAATACCATTAAGAAAAGGAAACAAACAATAGTAGATTATACTAATTCCGCCAATTTGATTGAGTTAGTTCTCTTACACAAATTCAAATTCGTAAGATTTATAGAAGTTCATGGGGTTCCACCTCAAAACCAATTGGCAATGAGGGGAGTAGCCATGATGCTTATATATTAATTCAAAGTGTCTCCAGACACCAATGTGAGATAAATACTTCAACAAGTTTCTCAGCAATCGATCCAAGATCTCCCAGAAAGTTCCCTCTCCCGTGAATCACTTGGACAATTCTCGATTCTTCAAAGGATATTTGTGTTATGTGATTCTACCTCTATATTCCAAAGGCCATCTAATGGCCATCAAATGGCCTTCTAAGATTGTGCACTACTTTTTATTTTATTATTTTTCAGAGAATAAATTCTCACTGAGTATGATGAAATCTTTACTCCATTTTGTATATAACTCTGGAACTCTATGGCAGTGCAACAAACAAGGATGATTCTCAATTTTTTATTCTCATATTCTTACTTCATTATTAATAAAAGTTTGTTGAGTTTCAATCACGCAATTATTATTATTATTATTTTTATTTTTATTTTTTTTGTGTGACTTTTGCGGGTACAAATGTGTAAATTGACTATAAATGATGCAACCAACTTTAGTCAGTCAAGTTGGCCACATGTAAGTGTTAATCCAACTTTGACAAACAGGAAAAATCATTCAACCTTTCCGAATTGTAAATTGTTTTTTTTTTTTTTTCAAACAATTATGATCTCTTCCCTAATGACTTTACCACTAGCAATGAAGGTGATCTTCCTTGAAATAAAACCATAGAACAAACAACTTAAGATGAATCAAGTAAAGGTCTGTAGAGAACAAATTTTAACTTAAATGATAACGACATTCAAAATTTAAGCGTTTAAAATCTATCCAACTATAAATAGGCATCAGTTTCCTCTTAATAAACAACTAGATGCTTGCCCGGGGCGTCTTCCCACCTAATAAATTAATATGTAAATAATTAAAACTGATTAGAAATGAATAAATGCCTGGGAGCGTCCCACCTAATACATTAATATGTAAATAATCAAAACTGATTAGGAATGAATTTAATTTTTAATGAAGATAATTGATTTGTCAAAAATTAATTTTTTCAAAAATCCTAAATAAGTGGAGAAGGAAAGTTCCATTTACTGTCAAATTCAAAATTTGAATGAACATGGACATCTGATCTCTTTGTTAATATTGTAAATATATTTTTTGTTTTCAAAAGAGGGTGACACGTGGCAGAATGATTTATGCAATATGGTGCATTTGGAGCCAAAACCTTTTAATAAGAAATTGACACATCAGCATCTTATTTCCTGCTTTAATAGGGTAAAAGGGATTAAGGAAAAATTAGCAACATCAATGAATGACAAAAAAACAAGTAAGCATCATCATCAAGCAATAATAAACAAATATATTAATTAGTTCAATCACTTGCTCCTTAATGAATCATAATATATATATATATAGGAAGGGATAACTTTTTGGTTTATGTCAAAATCTATATAGTTAGTCATTGCTGATTTCTAAAGATTTTATTCTCATCCTAACAAAACCACAAACTCTTACTTCAGCTTGGATTGATGCATACTCTTCCATTCTATGACAGGAACATGTCATTTTGTCTCATTTATAAATCTCAATTGACTCATATGGAGTACATCTTTTCCTTGATCACCAAAATTTAAAAAGATTTTATTATCGAACTTTGACTATTACTATCATATCCATAATCAACATTCAATAAAAAACCTTAGAACAATTTAACCAAAAATCTACAAAACAAATTATTAATAAGATCTTTCATTATATTTGATGGAGAGTTTTACAAATTCTCAAAATCGGAGGGAGTAGAAAATTCACAAGTTCATCTTTCCACCAAAAAATCATCTTTTACATTTGATTTCATCTTGACTTTTGTTAGAGTTGAAATGTGTCTATACTGTTGATTCATTTTCAAGTGATAATAGAATTTCATTCAGAAAAAGTCTGTTCCACCTTTTACATTTTTTTTTATCCTTACTATTCCAATATGAAAAGTTAACCCCCACACACACACACACACAAAAACGATTCCAAAATGTCCCCATTTGCTAAAAAAAAAACAGTTCAAAAGTAACAACATATTTCTTTTCAGTGCAAAAAGTTTATACACACCAGAAAAGAAACAAAATAGTCTTTTTGGTGATTCAGACAAACACCAGCCAGGGGAGAAGTATATAATGATGATACTGTTTGCCTACTTTCCTGATTTCTTCCAAAAAAATTTTCTTTTTTCCCATCAAAAATTGAAAGAAAAAAATTGTTTCTCAAAAACAAAAAGAACATTTCTGTTTTATATGTCTCAAAAAGCATATGAAAGGAAAAACACAAAGAGGCTAGAAAAAAAAACAGTATAATCTTGATTGTCAGTGAGGGAAAAAAACAACCCACCTAGCAGCCCACCACAATACCAAAAACAAAGGCAACCCCACCACCATATTGTACAGCGTGTGTGAGAGAGAGACAGAGATAGAGATTAAAGTTGTAAATCCACTTTGTAAATTATTTACAAGATTTAGCTAACTTTTATTGTAATTTTGTGCATTTTGAAAGCTAGTCTAAAGAGGAAACACGAACTAAAAGGAAGCAGAGTGGGTAGCTTCCTTGTGATTGATCAAAAAAGTTTTTTTGGGTTAGATAATTTGTGGGATTTTTTTACCATTACTTGGTGGTGTCTGTAATCCATCTAGAACAACTTCTAAGTTGTGTGGTTCTTCTCCAAAAAGGCTGCTTTCAAGACTTCTTTCTAAAGTCTCTTCCAGAAAAAAGGTAAATTTTTGAGGTCCCTTCTCCTTTTTCTCATTTGAATTGGAAATTTGAAACATTAGTAATGAAATTATGTGTGGTGGATTTGGGTTTAGCTGATAAAGTAATGATCTTTGGTCTACTTGAGAAATTGAAGGAAAGGCATGTTTTGTCGACTAAATGAATGATTCTCTGAATTCTGTTTAGCGTTGAAGTGTGTTTCAGTTGCTTGTTTAAGTTGTGAACCTGATTCAAGTGTTTTTCCTTTTTATTGTTCTCTTGGGAATTGTATGTAACTATGGGACTGTATTGATCCTTAAGAGTAACTTTTCTGGTGGGTCACTGTTTAATGGGAGCATTTGTAGGTGGGGGTGAGGTTCAATTGGTTGGCTGTTAATTGAAGAAGACGACTAAGAAGCTGATAGTATGAGAAATCTGTAGGCACTAATAGTAAAACTGCCAAAGTGGCAAAATTTAATGATTTTTGCAGTCACGAATTCTTGTGAGTTAAATAACTTTAATTCATTTATTAACTATTCAGTTTGGTATACTTATTCTCATGTTCATAGGAATTTGATTGGGATTAAGACGCTTCAACTTCAAACTGTTCTTCTGATAAGTATCCTGGTATTGTATGTTCTGTTAGCTGCTTTTAACTGACCAGTTTTAGGATGTGGTTTTGCGCTACAGAATATATTAGTAACTAGGAACCGCAGTTATATTTCCAGAATAGGTTGCTTAATTAGATTGATTGAATTTTTATCCTGGTTTCTGTTTTGAGCAAATTGGTTTTGAGATGAATTTAAATCTTAGCTTCGATTTAACAAAGATGCTCTCGGATAAATCTAGTTCACCTCGTCATTTCACCTTGTTTTCTGGAATGCAAACATGATTTTATGACAGATGTTCACAAGGACATCTGTTAGCTTGAAATTTTTAACCTGGCCATGTTAACTCCTCTTGAAATGCTTGTATATGCTGCTCTTTTTATCTCTTGACAACCCTTGATTGTTCCTCTTTTGAGTTATAATCCCGTCCCAAATGAAAACACTATTTTTTTAAATTTTTTTTATTTTTTTTTTTGGGTCGAACCTTGATGGCTACCTCATATTTTGTTTACAATTTTTTGGAATGTCTTTGCAGAAAAGCTCTCTCGTGGTTACCTGACATTTTGGTCATAATCTGTTTGAATGGCCTGGTGGAGATGGCACGCATGTTCATACATACTCTAAGAATAACATTTTGACTTAATTGCCATGGGACCAGCATCAATCAAATTGGAGCTCCTTGTGATTTTGGTGCTATCATGTCTCTGTACCTTTGTCTTATCTGATACCCAAGGTAGTGCTTCTATCATTTGGCTCCTGTGTCATATTTGGTTTTAATCTCTTAAAATACAAGCTTCACTAAAAGTGGCATATTTAGAGTTCGATAATTTGTAGTCACTTGCATCTACGGTCTACTTCTATTTCCTGTTTTCTGCTTTGCTTGATAAGGGCATTTAAAAGTGTTTTTGCCTTGCCTTCTTGTTGCCTTAGCATTCATAGATTGGCACTCTGAGAAACTTTTCGACTTATTTCAGGAGATGCACTGTATGCGTTGAGAAGCTCTCTGAAGGCTTCTAATGATCAACTTAAGGATTGGAATCAAAATCAAGTTAATCCTTGTACTTGGTCAAAAGTTATATGTGACAACAATAACAATGTCATTACGGTGTAAGTTATTTATCCTGTAGACTAACGTTACATTCGCACTGGACAATTTCTTGTGCGTATAGGTATCAGTGATTCTAATAGATTGAGAAGGTTTACATTTATTAATTCTTGTTGCAGGTCGTTGTCCAACATGGGTTTTTCTGGTACCTTATCTCCAAAATTAGGGGTTTTGACAACTCTTACAACTCTGTAAGTGAAGGCAACTTTAAGAATTATATGATTGAACAGTCTTTATTTCTTCCAGATTCCTTATTTAATTTCAATGATGCAGAAGTCTTGTTATTGTATGCAGATTTGGAAAATGAAATCTGTTTTGTGCTCGTGATATGAGTTACCTTGGGATTTCAAATGTGCTTGAACATGTAACTGAATGATTTCGCTGTGCCATGAGTTAAATATTGTTTTGAGATGTACTTAAATAATGCTGCTTGATGTCTATTGTATAGAATGATTTTGTCTCCCCCCCGTAAGCTCTTGATGAAGAAATACATGGGTGATTTAACCCTAAAGTAACATTTAAAATAAATCACATATGCGAAAGATATGGTCAGGTTTTATAGGTTGCTTTCAATGGGTGGGTTTGGAAAACTGCTAAAGCTGAGGCTAAACTTATACTTCCTGAAAATTTTTGATTCCAGTGATCTGTGAGGAATCCAGTGTTCTGCGTTTGTACCACTGAAGTTTCTAGCACAACTTGGCAATCTGGTTTTAATGATAAATAAACAACTTTTTAGTAATGACATGGGAATTTAGGATGGAGGGACCACTACTTGGGAGCTTACTTAATTAAAGGACTGAAGAAAGTTTGAAGAAAGTTTCTTATTGTGTTTTTCTTGGGTGGCATGGCCAGAGTATGGAAATGGATGTTTCTTAAAATGATTGGTGGCAGTAATAATGATATGTGCACGGCAGCGTACAAAATGTCCCTTTTGAGTGTCAGCTATTTTTCTATTATGCTTTGGATGGAAATAATGAGGAGGCTGACATATTTCATTGTCCTGCTTAGATTGAATTCGACCATAACGGATTCTCTATCTAATGTGGTCTCTAAGATATGAGTATATGTTTCTAGATGTTATCAGGATGCCATTTTTGTAGAAGCGTTTCCTGAAAGATTATGATCCTTTGTACTTGTATGGAGTATTACCAAGTAAACTATACAGCCTTTTCTTAAGTAGTGATTGCCTCCTGCATTATTCTCTTGCCAGGGCAATGCAAGGGAATGGTATTAGTGGTCAGATACCAGAAGAGTTGGGGAACTTAACTAGTTTGACCATGTTAGATTTGGATAACAACCATTTAAGTGGACCAATACCAGCTTCTCTTGGAGATCTTAAGAGGCTTAATTTCTTGTAAGTATCTGCTGGTTTTCATTTGGTGTTTTTATTTTGAAATTTCTGCTGCTGATGCTGCAGTTTTATCTGCAGAATTTTGAGTCAAAATAACCTTTCTGGAGAAATACCTCCATCACTTTCTAATCTCCAAAGCTTAATTAACCTGTAAGTGACTGATTTATATTTTGTTTCGCATTAAATTGCTCTATTATTGCAGAAATAGTTTTTTCTTGTTCCAGAATCAGAAAGATGAATGCCAGACATTTTCCCCCTTGACCTTAATGAAACTGAGAATTGCCTTGCAGTCAGCTTTCTTCCAATGGTCTTAGCGGCGAAATACCTGAGCAATTATTCGAAGTTTCCAAATACAAGTACGTTCATTCTCTAACATTGCTTCATCTTTTTTTTTTCATTTTTTATTTATTTTTTATTATTATTTTTTATATGTTGCCTACAATAGGACTTAGATATTTATGGATATGGGGATTGATCTTGGCTTGATGGCTAATTTCAGCTTTTCAGGAAACAATCTAAACTGTGGCCTGAATTTCCCTCATCCATGTGAATCCATAAGTGGAGGTAAGTAATTACGAATTTTCCACTGCTATGCATATCCTAATGGGATCGTTAACCTACTAAAACTAGGATTTATGAATGTGTATATATGCTTGGGTCTTACTAGATTCTATTTCATATTATTTGACATAAATTGAGGAGGCAACGACACTGGAAAATGAACATTTATTTAGAGTTTTACGTTGTGACAGTGATTAATGTTTTTATGTGTAGTTAAATTTTTTGATATAACTTAATTTTTCTAGAACAGTGAGTAACACATTCTAGTGTAAAATTTATCATTTGGACCTTCAATGTTCTTAGATCCAGCAAATTTGTTTATTGTTAGGTGGTTCAAGTAAATCAAAGCGTGGAACAATTATTGGGATAGTTGCTGGGATTTTAGGCATTCTACTTCTTGGAGGTTTGCTGCTGGTTTTCTGGAAGAGTAGACGGAAGGGCTACAAGCGCGAAGTTTTTGTGGATGTCGCAGGTTTCTGTTGCTCTTGTTCAAATGGATTATCTTCAATTGAACTGAGCGTACATATTCATTACAATGAGCTAGTGCTAAAACAAAAGCTTACGTGTGTTGTTTTCCAATAAGAAGTTCTTAAATTTTGTTTTGACAGGTGAAGTTGACAGAAGAATTGCTTTTGGGCAGCTGAAAAGATTCTCTTGGAGAGAATTGCAGCTTTCCACAGATAACTTCAGTGAGAAAAATGTGCTTGGACAGGGAGGTTTTGGAAAGGTTTATAAAGGAGTACTCGCAGATGGCACCAAAGTTGCTGTCAAACGTTTAACTGATTATGAGAGTCCTGGTGGTGAGGCAGCTTTTGGCCGTGAAGTTGAGATGATTAGTGTGGCTGTACACAGAAATCTTTTACGATTGATTGGATTTTGCACTACACCAACTGAACGTCTATTGGTTTATCCATTCATGCAGAATCTGAGTGTTGCTTATCGCCTTCGAGGTACCATCATCAATGCCTAAAAATAATTTAAAAACTAATCGTAGTACTCTATCATTGCAGAATTCGCCAAGTATTCTTGTTTGTTCATATAGATTTTGGTGGTAGTAGGTTCTTTATAGCTCAATCACTCTTGTTTTCCCTTACAAACAAAAATTATTTTTTCTCAAGCTATTTCAGTTTATTATTTCATTTGTTTGAGGGTTTCTTAGTGTCCTTCCCAAAACTGCAGAGTTTTTTGGAAGAGAGATTGCTCATAATTGCTTGGGAAGTTTTTACTTTGTGAAGGGGAAGGGGGAAAATGAAAGGAAATATGCAAGTTATGTAGTTGGAAAGAGTTATTCATCTGCAAGTTATCTGACCTCCATTTTGTTGTATTTGAAACTTTTGCATTTTATACAGAGCTTAAACCTGGAGAAGCTACACTAGATTGGCCTACCAGAAAGAGAGTAGCACTGGGCACTGCACGTGGACTAGAGTACCTTCATGAACACTGTAATCCTAAAATTATACATCGTGATGTCAAGGCTGCTAATGTTTTGCTGGACGAGGCTTTTGAAGCGGTGGTTGGTGATTTCGGCTTGGCAAAGCTGGTTGATGTTAAAAAGACTAATGTTACAACACAGGTTCGAGGAACAATGGGTCATATAGCTCCTGAATACTTGTCCACTGGAAAATCTTCAGAAAAGACGGACGTCTTTGGATATGGAATCATGCTTTTAGAGCTTGTCACTGGTCAGCGAGCAATAGATTTCTCGCGTCTTGAGGAAGAAGATGATGTTTTGTTGCTTGACCATGTAAGTTGTAGCGTAAAGTGGTTCTTCGGCTGTTTTTTCTCTTGTTCTTAGTTTGGGTAAAATTTAATCTTAGGGTATCGCTGGCACATTCTCTCATTATGGTTTTTGAGTACCAATGAAGTCATGTTTCTTATTGTATATTTGGAAGTGAATGTCTTCCTGTATGAGTTACGGGTGAATCCACCAGTTATTCATGTATCAGTTTTAGGTATCCTGGCTGCTGAAATTGCTTGTTTGTATTCTTATGAAGGTAATGAAACTGCAAAGGGAGAAAAGACTAGATGCTATAGTGGATCGCAACCTGAGTCAAAATTACAACATCCAAGAAGTTGAGATGATGATACAGGTTGCATTACTCTGCACTCAAGCATCAGCAGAGGACCGACCAGCCATGTCAGAAGTAGTGCGCATGCTGGAAGGGGAGGGACTGGCTGAGAGGTGGGAAGAGTGGCAACATGTTGAGGTCGCCCGTAGGCAGCAGTATGAGAGGTTGCAGAGAAGATTTGACTGGGGAGAAGATTCAATTTATAATCAAGATGCTATTGAGTTATCTGGTGGCAGATAGCCGTAGTTTCTCTGCTTGATGTAAATGGTAAGCTTTTTTTATAGGTTGGATGATCGGTGTAGTGTAAATGTATTCATATTTTGAGATTTTAGTGTCATTTCCACTTTCCATCCCTTCTTGTAGTACACAACTTGGACCTAGCGAACCATTTGTACAATTTTCCCCCATCTGTGGAAAATGACATCCATGAAATGAAACCATCAAATTTCATTTCTTTTTGGTACACTGAAGGAAGCCAAACTCTAAACTGGCAAAATATAAATGGCAAGAATCCGGTTCATGTCGGACTTTTTGATGGGATTGGACGGCTGGGATTTGATGAACTTTGTGTTTTTGGTGAGTGAGACATCAGGTGGTCAAAAGACACATAATTTGTGCTTCTTTTACTGGTTAAGATTCGAGTTTATAGGGTGTGGTCCGAATCCGGTTTAGTCAGAGTTTTACGTGAAGAAAGAGAGTTCTAACCCCCATTGTATATTTACTACAATTTGTTTGTTCAAATAATCAGTCAAATATCGTTTGAAGTCTCAAATGATTTAGGCCTAATAAAAGAGTAAAACTCTGAAGTCAAGCTGATAGTTGGGCGGGTAGGGCCAGTATTGGGTGGGTATTTAATGGGCGAGAAGTTATTAGGTATGAGATATTAATTACTCATTTATTTTACATACAATTGGGCATGGGTAGGGATTGAGAAACGGGTAGCCCGATACCCATTAGGATCTTGATAAGTACAATTATTGGGATCCCAATGGGATTTTTTCCATTTTTGTTTTTATCAATTTTAGTTTTTTGACAAATTTTTTTCCTTTCACTTTGTTATCATTTTTCTCCCACTCTTTTAAGTCTTTAAATTATATAAATAAGGAAAAAAAATTACTTGATGTTAATTCTAGGCATCAACATAAATGACTTTTTCTTAGTAAAAATAGAAAAAGAAAATAGAGAAAAAAAGTGTAATCAAGAAAATCATATTAAAGTTACTTTTCATAGCTGAACCAAAGCAAAAATCTAAAACCGCAATCCCTTGATAACAGTGGCGGAATGAGCTTTTTACATTTGGGAGGGGAGCTGGCTATACAGTAGAATATTGATAGAAACTAATGCACAATTTATTAAAAAAAATATTGAAATAATATTTACATTGAACGAGAGTTGGAAAAAGTAACACGAGGCAGCTGAAACATTCGTGGTGTCATGTTCTGAAATTGTTGCAAAATATCTTCATTTTCAATACCAATAAAAATCTCCTTCTCAATGTAACACAACATACCATCTGTGAGAAAATCATCCCCCATCCTGTTGCGCAAATCATTCTTGATAAAATTCAATGCGAAGAAAGATCTTTCAACTGTAGCTGTTAATACAAGCAAAACTAATGCCAACTCGATGAGTTGATAGATCAGCCTGTAATGCTTATGCTATTTCGTTGCAACCAATTTTTTTGCGAGATCCCCAATATCATTTAGGTCCTTGAAGGACAAATCTGATTTAACATGGTGTATGTACTGCTCCAGTTGCTCAACTAAGTCAGCTTTCTCCTCGGGGGTAAAATCATTTGGGTACAAACCAGCAAAACAAAGTAATCGATTTGAATCAAAATTCTTAAATGAGTCTCTCGGGTCAAGACATGCAATATAACTTAGAAGCTCCGAACTTGTCTCTGAGAAACGGTTTTGCATTTCTTTCACAATAAGATCAACGACCTAACATTGTGTCAAATTAGTTATAAATAATTTATAATATGAAGAAATGAAATATTTGCTACTTGGAATGAAAGAAAATAAGTAACTGACAAAAGATATCAACATGAAAGTAATGGTGACAGGTCTTTGGTTTTCCATCAACTATTAGTTGCCTTTTAACTCGGCCTGGCCTAGAATCTTCTATGTTGGGCATAAAAATGTTATGTTCAGAACAAAATAGATTGAGATCTTCCAATAGTTTATTCCAACCATAATATTTCCTGTATCTTTCAAATTTATCAATCACTATTTTCACATGTTGAGCTGCATTGCATATATTTTGATCCTTTTGTTACAAGGCCACTGACAATGAATTTGTCTTTGCTAATACTTTCTTCATTAAATGGGCAATAAATACAAATTCAAAATCTACCATTTTATCAATCAAACCATCAATTCCTCGACTTTGTGGATTAATGCCGTCCTCGTATATGGTCTCAAGTGCATTTTTTACTGCATTCCACATTTCCAATATTCGAACTAGTGATTTAAAGTGAGAACCAAGAGAATCACCCGGATGAGCTAAACTTGTTTCTTGATTCTTACCCTTTCCTGTAGTAATTTCACCACTTTCTATACGTTTAACAAGATCTTCATGATGTTTTTGCAGAAGGGAATCCTTTTCTTTACATGAGGCTCCAACAACATTTACAATCATAGTAAGATAATTAAAAAAATCACATACTTGTCGATGGTGCTTTGACGTTACCACAACAACTAATTGAAGTTTGTGAGCAAAACAATGAATATAATATGCTTGCTTAATTTTGGTCAAAATCCTTTGCTTTAACCCATTTAATTCTCCACACATGTTAGAAGCTCCATCATATCCTTGACCCCTCACCATTGACAATGATAGCCCATTTTTTGCAAAGAAATCATCAATCCCATTTTTCAAAGATACTGCAAAGGCGTCAGTGACATGCACTACACCAAGAAACCGCTCAATTACTTCTCCATGATCATTGATAAATCTAAAAACTATAGCCATTTTCTCTTTTATTAAACTACCACGGGCCTCATCGATTAAAAGAGAAAAATGTCTATTCCCAATTTCATTGATGATAGCCTTTCTCACCTATGTTGGACAAGCACCAATCATTTCCTTTTGAATTTTAGAAATCATTTCATTGTTCTTTGGAGCATTTGAGAACATTACTGCATCTACTTCTTTATAACGAGCACAATACCACTTCATAATTTCAAGAAAATTATCTCGTTGTAGTGATTCTTCTGACTCATCATGTCCCCGTAAAGGCAAACCTTGTCCTACTATCAATCAGATCACCTCGAGAACAGCTGTTACTCGAATGCGATAAGTAATCTCACTTTCCTCACTATGATTTGCTAACACATAATCAACATTACCCCTTTGAATTTTGTACCCATAATATTGATCCCTAGCATAACTTTTCTAAAGCCATTTTCCATAATCTAAAACTAGTTTCAGTAAAAACCTCATCCCCATTCTTATGATGTCCTCCGAGAAACAAAAAACATAAAAAACAAAATGTGGCATCCAATTTTTCACTATATTCTAACCAATCAAACTTTTCACACCAATAAAATTGAAAACTTCTCATAACTCCACTAAAATCTGTCTATGGGAAATTATGCCCCGCACATGGTAAACAACGTCCTTTGTTTAAGTACCATCTTCTCAACTTATCTCTCAAATCAATAGGGTATGAATCAATCGGTTTACGTAATCCTGGATCCCCAATAATATCATCATCCGACAATTCTATTTCCATTCAAAGTTTTTTGTTACTATTTTCATCATTTGATATTACATTCATATTTTCTAATGAATCGTTGGCATTATTGGATCCAATATTCACATTAGGCGGTAGGCTATCGCTCAGATTCGTAGATACAACATTAGATGTTGAAGCATCGAGGCTCGGTTTTGGAACCGGTTTAAAATATCATTTCAAAGCCATAATAGTCCCGAAATAGTAAATAAATAATATAAGTCTTCAATATAATACTGACACCAAAAAGTGAAAAAATTATCAATATATATTTATCAAACTTGTAAATTTCTAAAATTTATAAATCCCTAAATGGCTAAAAGTAATAACAATAAGAAAAAAAAATACACGGCCACAACACACACTGACACACATACTCACAATCACAATTCACAAATGATAAAAAAAAAATCATGGGAATAAAAAAGAGAAGTTGTGGAAGTAGAGCTTTTGAAGGCGGGTGGTGATATTAGCCGGTTTTGATCAAAATTGAAGCGGCGGGCGGCTGGATTAGGGTAATGGAGTTTTGGCTTCAATGGAATTGTAGGAAGTTCAATAGTCACATTAAGTTTTAATTTACAAGTGGAGTGGGGGGTTTTACGATTTTTTTTTTTTTTTAATTAGTGTTTCCCTTTTTTTTTTTTTTTTTTTGCTTTTGAAGAATTATAAATTGGAACAAGTTTGGGCCGTTTTTGTGAGTAATGGGCTAAGGCTGACTGGTGAGGTTTGTAAAAAATAAAAGGAAATTTGGGATGGACTTCACTTAATAGTTGGATACAACTAAAACAAAAAGTAAGTTGAGCTTTTTTTTAATAAAACCTTTGAAACAATGAATAGTACTTCATCTTCTTCCTCCAACCAACTAACTAGCCCCCTTTTTTTTCAGATTTGGGGGGCTGAACATACAGGCGGAGCTCCGCCGTAGGTACCCTTAAGGGGCTCTCTGGCCGGCTGGGGGGTCTCCAGACCCCCCAAGCCCCTTAAGGGTTTCGCCCTGTTTACAATGGGATGTCATAAGGTTGGTGTCCAAGTGCCCAAGGGTTACTCCACTTTTATTTTTTCTTGTCCCCCCCTATAGCCAAAATGGCAAAATCTAACCACAAATAGCATGACTAAATGGAATTATGAGGTATATATAATATCTAATGATGATATACCTAATCCGCACAATAACGCGCCTCCCCACAAATCAGATCATCCATACATAACCCGCTGCGATTTCCTTTTACAACAAAATAAGATCACAACAAAACGGCTGGGAAATTAAAGGATCGGTTGAGCAGATCCTAGCTGGCCGTGTTCGTTATATGTATATGGTGGAAGAGTGGAAGGTTAAGAGTAAGAAGAGATGAAGAATGTGAGGGAACGAGGAGGTGGAAATATAGAGGAAGGGTTGAATGGAGAAACCTTACTAGGTGGCTACTATTATTTAAAAGCTTGTCGCGCACCAATGGTGATATACTGTGTTTAGCCAATTAAATTGATCAACATTTCACAAATAATAATTAATGATGATGATGTACATTCACATACTTTAATGGGAATGAACCAAGTTCAATCAAGCAAAAACAAAAAATCCATTCAATAGTTTCAAAAAAACAAAAAAAAAAAAATCAATTCCATATTATTTCTCTTTCAAAATAAAATGCATTTCAGTTTATTGGATTTGGAACCTAGTATCTAACCGTGGAAGAAAGAAACTATGAAATTCTCTTATAAAATTAAATAAATAATTTAGAATTACAATATATGTAGGTATGAAACACAGTGTATAAAGTATCCCTTTTAATTTGCCAATTTCATCCCTTTTTTCTTTTCTTTTTTTGTTTTGCTCTAAAACTTGAATATTTACTAAAATAAAAGTATATATTGTGAGGAGGAAAGTGATGAACGGGTAATACTTTCGAATTAAACATTGTATTAATCATTAAATTTTGTGACTAGCAAGCTGATATACTTGCTTAAGAATGGCAGCCTGATTCCACATTGCAGCATCCCGAATCCCTAATCCTCCTCTGTCCTTCCTTGTACACACCTCTTCCCACCTAACCAAGGAGATGGCCTTTCCATTTTCCTTTGCCCCCCAGTATGAATGCATAGCCATTAACACTGAATTCACAGACATTAACTCGCCAGCATTCGAAAGGTGTCGGGTACTCCAACACCTGATTCTTGTCACAATTCTATTAATAATCTCCTGACACTCAGTCTTTGACCACTTTTTTGGTGATAGAGAGACCCCTAAATACTTCATAGGGAAGGATCCAGTTGGAAAACCAGTGATTAAACATATTTCTTCTTGTATCTTATGTCCTACACCTCCAAAATACACAGAAGATTTCTGGGAATTTGCTTCCAGTCCAGTGGACTTTCTAAAGTCACAATAGATGGAATCTAAATCCGGATTCAAACATTTTCTTCAAGCTTCAGGACAAGTACTCCATTACAAGCACAAAAAGAAGGAGTGAAATAGGGTCCCCTAGTCTAAGTCCACGTTTTCCAACAAAAAAAAACCGTAGAACAGCCATTTACTAATAGTGAATACGAGGGTGACGTAACACAAGCCATAATCCATTGTCTAAACACATCAGGAAAACCATATCCATCTAAAATTTCCTCCACAAAGCCCCATTCCACCGAATCGTATGCTTTTTTTTTAAAAAAAAAATATTTTCATTATCATCCTACTACTTATCCCCTTTTGTCTATATAACCTAATTAGTTCTTGAGTAATCAGAATATTATGCATTATCAATCTATCTTTGACAAATGCATTCTGATCAACTAAACAATGCATAATACATTTCAATCTATTACATAGGATTTTAGATATGCATTTATACATCACATTGCAACACGAAATCGGTCTAAAATGACTAGCATTCATAGGAGAATCAATTTTTGGAATCAATGCTATAATAGTGGAGTTCAACTGTTTAAGTACCTGGCCCGTGTTTGAAAAACTCCAAGATCGCCTCAGTTATATCTTCCCCCACCACTTGCCACATAACTTCGAAAAAACCAGCCCCATAACCATCTGGGCACGGACTCCTTTTCTTAGAACTGAACAAAGTGATCCTCAATTCCAGTTCTATCATTGATCTCCTCTCCATCATCTATATAGACAGACCATATGTTACTTTTCATTGTACTCAAAAGAGAGTGGAAATACCTCATGTTTTGATCCCCTTCAGTAATGCATTTCGCTTTTTCTTTTTGCTGGAGGAAACCGTTAGCTGCTTTACTGGATTCCAGATACTGTTTATACAATTCTCTTTCTTCCTCCTGTAGTTCAACATTTAACGGTTCCACACTCAATTCTTTCTGCATTTTGCTCAATAGACACTGATCTTTCAAGGCCTTCTCAACAATATCATCATACTCTGCTCTATTTAACTTCCTCAGCTGGAATTGAGTCTCTTCAATTTCTGGCAGACTTGAAACATTCTTGTACCCTGAACAGCCTGCTTCCAGCTATCATTCACAATATCCAAAAACTGGGGAGCTTTACTCCACATGTTAAAGTACCGAAATGGCTTGCTTTTACTAGCTAGCTCCACATGCCGTTGCACTTCTAATGGTGAGTGATCAGATACACCTTCCCCAAGAACAGTAGAAAGTGAATCAGGGTATTTATCTACCCATTCTTCATTTACCACAGCTCTATCGATTTTTGAATAAATCCTATCAGATCCCACTCTCTGATTACACCATGTAAACCGTCTCCCATTCAATTTAAGGTCATTTATACCACATTCCTCCAAACATCCTTGAAACTGTTCAAAGTGCTGCAAACAAACAGGCTTGCCCCAAGCTTCTCCTCATGTTTGAGAATGTTATTAAAGTCCCCCATAAGTAACCACGGCCCAGTGATCCCCTTTGAGATACTAATCAACTCATTCCATAAGACAGATCTCTCACCCTAATCATTAGAAGCATAAATACCAGAAAACAAAAAACAGCTATTTTCAGCTCTAACCCGACAGTAACAGTGTATCAATTGAAAGCTTTGACACACTTGAGTTACTTCTACTCTCGATCCGCAGAGGAGAATGATCTGTCCACTCTCATTAGTATTATAATTTGTAAGCCACCTCCAACCATTCCAAAACTGTTTCAAATAGGTTTCTCCCCTTTTCTGTTTCATTTTCGACTCCACTAAACATATTATCCTATATTTATTATTCATAATTCTCTTATGGATCTCTTTTTGTTTCAGGGGTGAGTTTAAACCCCTTACATTCCATGAAATAATATTATTCATGGTTACCTGGTCTCGGATTTATCATCATCCTCTCTTTCAACCCAATCCTATTCTCTGCAAACCTCTTGTCCACCTGAGCATTAGTAGCTTTTTTAGTTATCCCAAGAAGAGACTGCATAACAGCTACCTCTTTAGTACTAGGGACATCCAGGTTCACAGGGTAACATCTCTCCCTGACCACACTACATTCAGAGCCACTAAGATTAAGTTGGTTTGCTAACACATTGGACTCTTTTTTTCTTTCCTTCATTGAAGGATTAGCAACAGAGCCCTTGTTTGTATCAGTGCTAACCCACTCAGTCCTAGTACTCATATTAGAGTGTTTCCCTTTCACCACTCTCCTCCATACAGGTGCTGGTTCTTTCACCCTTGTGTCAACCTTGCCAACCAACTTCCTACACTTTTCAGACCCATGCCCATACTCCAAACATTGGTTACACTTGGTTGGTATCCACTCATAGGCAACTTTTTGCACCTTCAAAATGCCACACTCATCTTCAAACACCGATTTATCCGGAACAGTTTCACTAATCTCCATTTCAACAAGTATACGTGCATATTGGACTCTACTTTTACTCACAGTATATTCATCAGCTTGCAACGGAACCCCAGTTGAGCTAGCCAATCTACTCATGGAATTTTCATGCCAATACTTCAATTCAAGACCATAAAGCCTAATCCACACAGGGGCTTTTTCAACATTACTATACTTTAGACCCTTCTCTACATCCCAAGGTTTCACAATTAAAGGCTTAGACCTGAAATGATAGAAATTCACACTTAACACTACATCCCTAGCATGCATCGAATGGAAACGTACAACAAACAATCCACTCGGAAGTATGATTACCTTGTCAATACCCAGCTTGCCCCATAGCTTCTTGAAATAATCCTCCGTAACCCTGACTGGCGGATGAGCCCCCAACACAAAACATACGATTAAAGATCCTAATAATCAGCTTCTGCTTTCACATCCACGACTTGCATCTGTGAGATTTTCTGGCCATCAATCTGTTTCAGCTGGACAAATCTGAATTTCTGAGATGGTTTCTTGAACAACTTGCTCATGCCGATTCCTCCGTCTCAATCATCTCTGACCACTCCAATTGCCGTTGTGTAGGCCCAATTTTATTTCTTTGATCTTGTTCGTCTTTGAGGATTCCCGAAGTACACCCATCGCTGAAAGAATACACCGTCGTCCTCCAGCGTAATCACTTGCTCTGTCATCTTCGATTGGGAAGAAGAGCCCTCGATTGCCGCCACCAAATGATTAAGTTCCACCTCTTGCTTCTTAGAAACCCTAGTTGACCTCCCTTTCATCTTAGAGACTGCCTCAGTCCCAATCAACCCCGATACAGTTACCCCAGCATCAGGTTGTATATCCTCTTTACTTGCTTACTGATTATTCCTCCCTTTTTTTTTCCTGCCTGCCATGGCAAGCGCACCTTAGCATTGTGCGTCGGGAGCAAAGAGAGAGAGACAAAGTTTTAAGAGAGAGAAAGTAACAAGCAAGTTTTAACAATAACATCAAGTTTACATGTACATGTTTGCATAATAAATCAATACATGTATCAGTAGATTAGGTTGAAAAACAGTTATTAGTTCGAACATGAAAATTGCTTTCAAATTAGCCAGAGGAATATTAGTTTGACCGTAATGTGTGAATGTCATGGATTTGTTATAAATGAAAATAGTTTGTAGATTTATACAAGCGGAGTTTTTACATTTATTATTGTCTCCTTTTGGTTTTAATCATCCATGAATTTGTACATGTTTAATTCTATTTAATTTACATGTAATACCAATATGTAGACACATCCAACTTTTATTTGTTCTCCCATTCCTTTGAGCAAAAATCCAAGCAGACTACGAAATGGATTATTGGTTTCCTCATTGTTTAAACTAAAATTTAAAGTAAAAGGTTATTTATTTTATTAAAAGAAAGAGAAGCTATTCAAGATTGAAATCAATGAATTAAAATGCAAGTAAGTAGAGATCGAAGTAGTATGAATAAGTACAAATAAATATCGTTACTCTTAATAAAACTATTCGCTCGCCTATTCGGGTTCATGAATCATCTTCTTCCCGTCTCCCCATCTTCGATCCTATTCTTGAACATGGATATAGAGGAGAATCTAAATATTAATCAAACTTGGCAGATAATCAAATACTATATAATAGCTTCTATCCAACCGCATCACCAAATCATCTGGTGTTACCTCCTTAACTTTTTCCTCATCCTCCACATTAATCGAAACACTAACACACCTTTTGCAGTAATTTCATGTTTTCATCATACTCATATTTTTTAGCATAAATTTTACCAGTGACCCATACTGTTCTGTTGTGCATAAAGTCACAACCCCAACCTACTTCCAGGAAGCACCGTCTTCTTCATCCAGGAAATAGTTTCCCCTTGTTGTTTTTTCATCACCCACAGCTGAGTTTTGTATCAGTTTTCCTCATCATCAAACTAAGGCATCCCTCAAATAGTTCTAAACAAGCAAACCTACACTCGTGTGCTTCTCACGGAACGGAAACTAACTTGGCGAATTCTTTTTTTATTTATGTCCAAAACATACAAGGTGTAAGATATTACACCATCTTCATCATCAAAAGTAGCTAGCCAATAGAGACTTCCATCATGAACAACATAGTCCATGTGTTTGAGCTCTCCATGCATACTGTGAGAATCATCATCATGTTCCAAAACTAATGGTTCCCAAGAATTAGTACTTAAACTGAAAACATCACCTTTGTATAATCCAGGCTGATGGAGATAAATGATTTTCACCACCGTGTATTCGTCGCGAACGGGTTCATGCAAAAGACTAATGCTAGTATGCTCCTTCTTCTTTCGAGTATACCGGCTTTTCGGTAGAATTCTCCATAGACGTACTCAAGGCTGGATTCCACAAATATATGTGTTGAATGTTTCTGTTGTGATTACATCTTTGGTAAAAACATATCAACCCGTTAAAGGAACCCACAAAACTTGAAGGCCGCCTTGGAAAATCAGCCAATAAGAAGTCCCTTGTGAACTCTTTGACTCGATTGAAATTAGGTATTTTTTGACAAACACAAGACGAAGCAGAACCTGCCTCATGTTCAAGCAGATGATACTTTATCTTGTCACTTGAGGTTGATAGAATATATAAATACGGAAACCCTAATTAGGGTTTCCGATAATCACGGCTAGGGTTATTGTAATATTGTACTATATATATGATGTTGTACACATGTAATAAGACACGAAAAATATTCTTTTATGGTATCAACCGCTTTCCTGGGACGTAATTTTTTTTTAGGGTTTTCAGCCGCCGTTCAATTCTTGCTTTGACGGCTTCCCTAGTTTCTTCTCCGGCAACCTCTCTGTCCTGCCGTTGCCGCTGCTTCTTCAGCCGCTGCTTCAACCTCTCTGCTTCTCTGCTTCAATCATTGTCGCTGACTCTTCACAAACCTTCACAAAAAACCGGCCGCTGTTTTCTCAACCCACAGCCGGCTGCTACTTCTCCTCAACCCACAGCCATCGATCCACCGTGCGCACTGCCGCTGCTCTTCCTCCATGGCCGCTGCTTCAGATCTCTTCTTCCACGGCCGCCACAGTTCTCTTCCTTGCCGTGCGCACTGCTGCTCCTTCCTGTTGCTGCAGCATTGCTTCCGGCTTGCTTCCTGTTCTGCTTGCTTCCAGTTCTGTTTTTCAATTTGGCTTGCTGCTGCTCTGTATTCCGGTTGCCACTGTTTCCGCTTGGTGTTTCCGGCGGCCTCCAAATCCGGTTGCTTTCTTTTGCTATTTATCCGCCGACGTCGCTGCTACTGGATATTAATTCATCAGACTGGATTCTTCATCAGTAGGAGCTTCTTTCTTTGTTGAGAAAAACAAAAACAAAAAAAAAATAAATAAAATTTTGTTTGATCTTCTTCGTTTGACCTTCACGTCCCTGCTGCTATGGCAAATTCGGCCGCCTCCGGTGTCATAGGAACTCCATCTTCTAATCACCTTCAAACCACCCCCAACACCGGAACCCTGCCACCCTCTTTTTCACCTCATCCGGCCATTGGCCTTTCAAATATTAAGAACTACATCACCCCTGTTCTTGACTTCACCAACTACATGCTCTGGAAGGAACTCTTTCTTCCTGTTTTCCGAGGCCATGCCGTCATGGGTCACATTGACGGTTCAAATCCTTGTCCACAGGCGACTCTCGCTGCCTCCGATGGTTCTTCTACTCCCAATCCGGCTTTTCAATCTTGGACCCAAATTGACTCTATTGTGCTCTCGTGGATTCAAGCCACTGTATCTACTGAGATCTTGTAGGCCATCGTTAAGCCCAATTCCACACTCACAGCCCGAGATGCCTGGCTTACGATCGAGAAGCTGTTTCATGACCAACTTGGCTCTCGGCTTCTCCATCTGAAGCTGCAATTCCACAGCTTGAAGAAGGGTGATTCCACAATCAATGATTATGTCACTCAATTGAAGATGTTGGCTGACTCTTTGACCGCTGTCGGTTGTTCCATCTCCGACTCTGCCGGTCTTCCTGCTGATTATCAATCCGTCTCCACCACCATCAGCCACAAAGTCCCTCTTCCTACCTTCGTTAAGGCTCGTTCGATGCTGTTCTTTCATGAGGTGCAGCTTCAGAACATGGCCCTTCCTTCTTCTCCCGTGGCAACCACGGCCTTAGTGGCGGCTGCTTGCCCTGGTTCTTCTCAGCAGCCGACCTTCACTTCTTCTTCTCCTGTTTCATCCAGTCGTGGCCGTGGAAGGGGTCGTGGCTTCCAGAATTCAAGAGGCCGAGGTCGCGGGCGTGGTCGCAATCAATATTTTGGTCAGTCCTCTTCTCCGTTTTATCACTCTTATTCTTCTTATCCGGCTCCTATGTTTACTCCCAGGCAGCGCGCTCCCTCTCTTCTTGGACCTCCTCCTTCTTCCTCGTCCAATTCAAGTCCTGTTCGATGTCAATTGTGCCACCAGTTTAATCATTCTGCCCGGGATTGCTATCAATTCCAACAGCCCGCCTATTTTGTTGATCAACATAATCGGCTTTCTGTCCCTCCGTCTGTTGATTCTTCTTGGTATATGGACACGGCTTGTGGTAATACTATGACTCCCAATCAAGGTACTCTTACTAATTCCAAACCCTATCTTGGTTCTACTCGAGTTGTGATTAGTAATGGTTCCAATCTACCTATTAAATCTGTTGGTACCCTTCCTTGTTCTCAATTTCGCTTTCCTAGGGTTTATTATGTGCCTTCACTTACCAAAATCTTGTTTCTATGCGTCAATTTGCAACTGAAAATCAATGTTTTATCGAGTTTGATCCCTTTGGTTTTTCTGTGAAGGATCTTTGGACGAGGAACCCTCGTCTACGTTGCAATAGTGTTAGTTCCCTTTACACTTTCCCATCCACCCTTTTGGATCAATCTCGCGCACCGTCTTCTTCATCCTGTCCAGCGTTTGCTGCTTCCGTCTCTTCCCATGTCTGGCATCAACGCCTTGGTCACCCCAATTCTTCTGTTTTATCTACATTAGTGTCACATCGCCACCTTCCTGGTTCGGTGGTTTCCTCAAATAAGTTTAGTCTTTGTCATGCTTGTCAAATTGGGAAGCATCATAAGCTCCCTTTTATGCCTTCTACTTTGGTTACTTTCAAAGCTTTTGATTTAATTCATACCGATGTTTGGACTTCTCCCTATCTTTCATTTAGTGCTTTCAAGTATTTTGTCCTTTTTCTTGATGATTTTACTCATTATTTATGGGTGTATCCACTTAAACATAAATCTGAGGTGCCTCACAAATTTATTAACTTCTACACTCTTGTCCAAACTCAATTCAATACTTCTATAAAAACTCTTCAATCTGACAGTGCTGCTGAATATGTTCACTCTCATTTTCTTCAATCTTTTCTCAACTCTAAGGGAATAGCCATGCGCATTTCTTGCCCATACACTCCTCAACAAAATGGCAAAGCTGAGCGCATGAATAAGACTGTCCTCAATATGGTCCGCACCCTCCTCAATCAAGCTCACTTGCCACCTAAATTCTGGGTAGAAGCCTTAAATACTAGTGTTTATCTGATAAACCGTTTACCTACCAAATCCAAGAACAATTCTGTTCCCTTCTCCTGTCTTTTTGGTACTCTACCTAATTATGGTGTCTTGCGGGTCTTTGGATATTCTTGCTTTCCTAATCTATCTCATTTAGCTTCTCACAAGCTCCAACCTCGGTCCACTCCATGTATCTTCCTCGGTTATCCCGAGTCTTATAAAGGTTACCGTTGTTTTGATCCTGCTTCCAAGAAAATTTACACTTCCCGTCATGTTGTTTTTTATGAAACCTCTTTCTCGTTTCCTCAACTATCTTCGGTTCCACCACTCTCTACTCCCAACTCCCGTTTTAAACATCCTTTGTTTCTCATTCCACGGTCCATTCCCACTTCCGTAATACCTTCACCTCCTCAATGAAAAGTGTCAACTGTTCCTTCTGTACATTCAGACCCTACACCTTCTACTTCCTTGTCAACTCATTCGGGTCCTCCCTCTTCAAACCCTCCCACTCATCATATGGTCACCCGCACTCGGGATGGCACCCGTAAACCTAAACAGATCCCCTCTCTTACTACTACTACTACAACATCTCCACTTCCCCATGAACCAAAATCTTTCATTGAGGCCAATAAATACCCTGAATGACGAGCTGCTATGAGTGATGAATATAATGCTCTCCTCACTGACCATACCTGGGATTTGGTCCCTCCTCCTATTTCTGCTAACATTATTGGCTCAAAATGGATTTTTCGAGTTAAGCTCAAATCCGATGGTTCACTTGATCGATGTAAAGCACGTTTGGTTGCTCAAGGTTACAATCAAAAGCCTGGTATTGATTATGATCAAACGTTCAGTCCGGTGGTTAAACCAGTGACAATTCGGACTGTATTAAGCATTGCTGCTTCTCGCAAATGGCCCGTCCATCAGTTGGATGTTAAAAATGCATTTTTGCATGGTCATCTCAATGAAGTTGTCAACATTAAACAGCCTACTGGTTTTGTTCATTCAGATCATCCTCACTATGTCTGTCGATTGAACAAAGCTCTTTATGGCTTAAAGCAGGCTCCCCGAGCTTGGTTTCATAGATTCACTGCTTTTCTGTTTTCTCAGGGTTTTACAGGCAGTCGCTCAGACTCTTCTATGTTTGTGTATTCTGCTGGATCAAACATGGCAATTTTGTTACTTTATGTTGATGACATTCTCTTGACAGCATCTAGTAATCGTCTGCTCACTACTATTATTCAGTCGCTGAAGGGTGCTTTTGCCATGACTGATCTTGGTCCAATCAACTATTTTCTTGGTGTTTCTGTTGCTTCTCACTCTGGTGATTGGTTTTTACACCAACGTAAGTATGCTGAGGAATTGTTGGCTCATAGTCATCTCACTGATGCCAATCCTATTGCAACTCCCCTTGCTCCCGCTTTCCAGTTTTCTGTTGATGCGTCTCCGCCTTTTCACAATCCAACTCTCTATTGGAGCTTGGTGGGTGCCTTACAGTATCTTACCTTCACCAGACCGGACCTTCAGTATGCGGTCAACCTTGTCTGTTAGCATATGCATGATCCCCGGGAACAGCATTTTCAAGCTGTCAAACGTATTCTACGATATATTAAAGGCACACTTCATTATGGCATTCATCTCCGCGCTGGTCCTCTTGATCGCCTGGTTACTTATTCTGATGCTGATTGGGCTGGGTGTCCCACTACTCGCCGTTCTACCACTGGTTTTTGTGTCTTCTTAGGCGCCTCTCTCATTTTCTGGTCCTCCAAGAAACAATCTACAGTTTCCAGATCTTCTGCTGAGTCTGAATATCGTGCGGTTGCTTCTGCTTTGGCTGAAACGGTTTGGTTAGAGAATCTTCTGTCAGAACTTCGTATCAAGCTCCCTCAGCGCCTAGTGATCTTGTATGACAATGTCTCTGCTATATACCTAGCTGCCAATCCTGTTAATCATGCTCGAACCAAACATATTGGTCTAGACATTCATTTTGTTCGTGAACATGTCGCTGCTGGTCTTCTTCGTGTTCTTCATATCTCCACTCAGTCTCAACTAGCAGATGTGTTCACCAAATCCTTACCTAAGGATAAATTTTATTCGTTTAGAACCAATCTGTGCATGATTCCCTCTCCTGCTCCGATTGCGGGGGGATGATAGAATATATAAATACAGAAACCCTAATTAGGGTTTCCGATAATCACGGCTAGGGTTATTGTAATATTGTACTATATATATGATGTTGTACACATGTAATAAGACACGAAAAATATTCTTTCAGAGGTTATGGAATTGTTTTGATCAACAGAATTTTTCAGCTGAGCATTGATGAAATTTGAATCAGAGGAGATCAGCTTGAGCCAATCTTTACAAACGGCGCGAAATCGGAGAAGGGTTTTCACTGATAATCTTGATAGGGTTTCAAAGATAGTATCATGTGATAACTTCGGCTGGGGAGCATCATCGATTGGCTCCATTTATCATCAATAAGCTGCAAGGATACAACTAGTTGAATTTTTAGTAGAAATATAGAAACATAGGTTCTTCTTAATTATTTTAGTCCGTGAAAATTGGCCTATATAATTTCTACTCAAAATTAAGTATCTCCAAAATTGAGGATCTCAAAAATAACCCTATACAACTGAGGTAAGGTGGATCTTCTCACTCGACCGATTTTTGAGTATTATCAAAAATAATTTGGATCTCGGTAAAATTCTTAATTGAGTTGTAATAATTGTTTTTTCCGTTATACTTAAATTCTGGGGAAAAAATATTTTAAAAAATGAGTGCCAATTTTTTTTAAAAAAACTAATTAGCGTGACTGAAAAGTAGTGTAACAAAATGATATAGATGATCTTTATTCTTTAGGCCTCTTCGAGTGCATGCAAGGTATCAAAGTAATCACGGGAGTAATCTGCAACATACCCCTACTTGATAATTGATTTTAGTCAAATATAGTGCCTGCCAAGATAATACTTTATCTTGTCACTTGAGGTATCAGAATGATCACGGGAACAATCTGGCATGCATGTTTGAATTACATTGCATGCGAATTGTGTGACGTTTCTTCTAAATTAAATCTGTTGGACACAAGTTATTTACCATTAATCATGATTAGTAAAAAGAAATTCTTTGATTTTCATAAAATTAAGAAAAAATCCAAAAAAAAATTTAAAACGAACTTGTCTAATTTCTGATCTTAAAATAATACCCTTGTTTCTTAAATCAAAACTGGATTATAATTTTTGAAGGCGGACGATAATATATTTTCTCCCCTTGTGAGAATCAACCTTAGTTTTTTCAAAAATTACAACAATCCATTTTATTACATTAAATTAGAAGTATACAAAAATAATCACGGGAATAATCTACAATATATGCCTACACGAAGTCATATATATATATATATATAGATATATATATATATATATATATATATATATATATATATATATATAGTGCCCGCTCCGTGGTATATCAGAATGATCACGGGAACAATCTGGCATGCATGTTTTAAATAAATTTGCATGCGATTTGTGTGATGTTTCTTCTAAATTACATTTGCTGGACACAAGTTAATTATCATTAATCGTGATTAGTAATCATTTTTTTTTCTTTGAGTTCAAAAAAAAAAGTCTACGAACAGATTTGTCTAGTTTCTTATCTTAAAATTTTACTCTTGTTTCGTAAATTAAAACAGGTGAAAGACACATAGCTCAACTAAAGAAGCATTTTTTTTTTTTAATAGTAACAGGCAAAAAGCTATACCGAGGGAGAATTAACTATCTACGTAGAACTGTACGAACTGTACTCTCTTTTTGTATATATTCTTTTTTATCTATATAATTATTATCTTGAGAAAAAGAAAGAAAAAGAAAATCTATTCCATCACAATGAATCACCATCGATCCTGGCCAAGACTGGATCACACCATACTGAATAATAAAATTCATCAATAATTCGCGAAACAAAACTACAAATGTACAGTAAAAGGAATTTGGTGTTTTAAAACAATGCACAATCCTGAATATTGCAAAACGATTTTGTAATTGCTAAAAACATATAGGAAACAAAAAAAGTGTATAGAATGACAAATTTCGCCCTTACCCTCTGGATGTAATTGTGTTACATATTAATTGATCATGATTTATTTCACAATCAAAATATTACAACAAATTTAGGATTTGCATTTCCGCTTCTGAGCTTGTTGTGAACAATACATATCCAACAATCTGGCAATCAACAGTTGGACCCTACAAATTCGTTCCAACTTTTCATCATCTTCTTCGTCACCAGTGTCCTCTCGATCATCAGCTAACAAATGTGCCGGAGGCAAATTTGTAGTATCATCTTCCATTTCCTCAGAATCTATAGGGTATTTAACCCAATCCACTCCAGCCATTGCAAGAGCTTCTAATGAAGTTGTTAACATGTTCTTGGCTTTCTTGTTTGTGGGTTCTGAAAAAAGATTAAGATTTAGAAGGTGATCACGAGAGTATGGTTCGACTCTTGATAGGTGCGATTTAAAAATTAGAAATGAATAACGACTAAGTGAGATTTTTTGTTTGTGAAGAAATCCCGAAATTTAGCACAAGAATGAAAGAACAGATTCTAATTAAACTGAATTGATATATTTCGTTGGAAGTTCTCTGTGCCCTTATATATGCGGCTCATGCAGTGAGTCAAGCGAGAAAAACATGGAAAATGATTTGAAGAATTGTAAAAATTCAAAGGGTTGAACAGTTGAATTTGGAATGCTTTATTGTTTTACCAACAATATGTCCGTGATCTTTACTGATTGATTAATTGGTGACGATGAATTTGATGACGATTGATATTGCATGTTTCAATTGCTTCAGAAAAATTACATAAGGTTCGATTAACGTAATGCTTATCGTAGCAACACTTAAAAAACAAAATCAATTTCATAGAATGATAGAATTTTAATTTCTTGTTGTTATTCTTCTTTGGTTTAATTTGGAGTCTTTCTAAAGAGAATGTTGAAAAGTGTCTGGTTGAGATCAATATTTTATTAGCGGTAGAGTTTCATAGAACATGCATGGTTTGATCACAGCATTTAGTCATTTATGCATTTAGGATGTATGCAAATTAATATTTATATGCAGTGTGGACTATATTACGTTAGTAATTAGTTGGGGCTTAACTATAGGTAAGCTGTTTAATTTGATTAATTAATCCTCTAAACCTTAAACTTTGATCCAAGAAAAAATAATACAAATCTCAAAACTAAATGTGGATTTATTTATTTATTTATTTTTGGTGTATAAAGGTAGTACTTTTCTAGAGCAATAACGATTAAGGAGTTTATTTGCAGGCAACGTCCCTTCCTCATTAATAAAACAACATGTAAAGCTGTTTAATCTTGTGGCATCGGATTAGAAGATCCCGTGGCTGTAAGAGCGGAAAATTATGACGGTAAAATCTAAAAAATGGACTGATTTGATTACTTAAATCTATTTATCGTAAGTGAAAAATGGATATCTCATATAATGATATCGTTTTTCTATTTTTGCTAGTCATAATTCAAATTATATAAAACAAATTCAATAGGTGAATTACTCCTTTTTACTTACGTACGATGAAAGTGTACCCTATACGTGCGATGAAAAAGCAAATTTTCAGTTTAGATGCGAAGCCTGATGACACTTTTCCTTCGTCCGGTTTCATTGATAGATAATAGACTGTTGAATTGAGATGTGTTTATCGAAAAGTAAATGTTGTTGCACAAATATTTGTCATTAATTGCATTTAGCCCTCCAGAGATTGATGAAACAAAATTTGACACAGCTCATTTATGTAGGATATCGAGGCTTTAAAGGAATTAGCCCAACGGCCCAATAGCGCCAATGGATTTACATGGGTCCAACATGGGACCCCTTTTTAAATACTTCATAAATAGTGATTTATATATATCCTAATACATTTATTTCAGGGAGTTAATTCACACTACTCATTCTCTCTAGTGTGTATTTATTTTATTTCTCTCACTAGACTAACTTTGGCATCAGAGTACTAACCCTTGTCTTGTAGGTCTCCGTCCTAGTTGACCGTTGACTCGCCGCCATCGGGAATTGCCTTTGTCAAGTGGCGCCAACTGTAGGGAGGCATATATTTGGTCGAGGGCGAGCCCAAGAGCTCTATGAGAGTTATGGTCTCTACTAGGGCGAGACCTGAAGAAGGCACCAGCCGACGCCGTGTCGTTAGATCTGAAGTAGTGAGAGAGTCAGCCAGGCGCTCGGCCCGGAGGACCCCCGGGGAAAACCAGGAGGACGACTGCATGTCTCGCACGGGAGATCCAACGCCTTCGGGCAACTTGTACAAGAATGAGGATTGTTGGACTAGCGGTAAAAGGTCCTTGGGAGAAGTGATGGTCGGACAAACCTTAGATATCTCCTCAAAGAACTTGGCCTTGCTCAAATCCGCGTCACAGAAGTATTTTTGGGCCTCAGGCACAATCAAATTGGCTTAGATCGCCCCATCCATAAACTCATCCGCATACTTGTCCACCAGGGCGTGGATGTTCCCATTTTTATGTAGGGTATCCCCCACCAACTGCGCGTGCTGCCTCATCCCCATCTCAATTACTGGGGTCATAATCTGGTCGACCCCCCTTGCAAATGCTTGAGAATTAAGATAAACCCTCAAGGCGGCCAATACGTACTCAGGGAGGTCCGACTTTAGGATCATCGACTCCCTCAACTTGGTCATCACCGCCTCCTCAGCTTTGGCCGTCATTGTCTCCTCGACTTTGGCCATCGCGTTCTTGTGAGCCTTTGATTTTTCTTCCAACTTCTTCATGGAGTGAGCTTGTTTCCTCCAGTTCGACCTTTCTTCTTTCAACTACTCAATCTACGCCTTTGCCTCCTTTAGCTCCCCTGTCTTTGCAGCCACAGCCTGCTCATTAGCTGTAACCAAGCTATCTAAGTTTTTGGCAAGCTCGCCAAAAGTTGCCACGGCCTGAAGAGACTGATTAAAGATGCGAGTTAGTAAGGCACAAATTACTTGTAAAAATAAAAGTCTCGAAACTCACCAACGTCATGCTTTCGGTTATTTGAGGGTTGTCCAGGACCTGAATCTCTGGACCTGTCACCCTCGGAGGGTTGCACTTCACAAATGCACAACCCATTGGCACCTGTGACGCCTTAGCAGGACGAGTGAGAACACCCTGGTCCGTATAAGTCTCCTGCAACAGCTGGCTGGGTGTCAGGCCCTTGAGTCTCCCGACGACTACATTGATCGGGGTCACGGTAGTATTAAACTTCACTTTCTTCGGATCCTTCTCCTGAGGAGCTGCAGGGCGCTTGTTCAGAGCGGATTGCAAAATTTTGTTGCGAGCCCCCGAATCCTTGTGTTGTTCGGGAGTTTTGGACGAGTCCGGTTCCTTCCCCTCGACCGGTTTCTTTCCTTTGTCATGTTTCTTACCTTCCTCCTGACGGTGTGGTTGCCGCGACAGAGGCACTTGATGCGGCCGTTGAATGGTAGCTTCGTCCTCAGGGTCGTCTGTAATACCAAAAGCGGATCTTCTCCCCATCAGTAAAAAGTTTACATAAAACAACGCAAAAGAAATAGTTAGATGTGAGGGGTCGAATACCATACCTCTGCTGGAATTAACTATTGTATCACTAATGGAAGCGATAAAAGTATAGTTGTAAGTCTCCGTCAAAGCCTCCAATTTATCTAAATCCGACTTCCGCCTTAGCATCTCCGCCCTATCCAGGTCGGACCACGGATCAAGCACCTTCTCATTCTCGAGGTCGTAATTCCAAGACATGAGATCAGGGAAAGACAAGTTGACATATAAATATTCAACTCTCCACGACTTATAAGCCGTCTTCTAAGGCTTCGACGCTTCACTCCTCGACGCCAATTCTTTCCTTGAACCCTTAGGATTCCTAGTGACATTGTACCAATTTAGGAATCCCTTGGCTCCTCGAACAACCTCATAGAAACACCTAAACAAGAATACGTCGGGGACGACTCCAACCTTTCCACAGAGAAATACTAAAGCCAGTACAGCCGTAATAAAATTGGGGGCCATCTGCGCCAAAGGTAACTGATACGCCTTGAGGATTTCATAACATAAAGGAAGGATGGGAAGATGAAGGCCGAACTCAAGGAACTTGGTATAGATTGTCATCTTCCCTTGAGGAGGAGTGTCCGCCCTTTGATTGCCTTCAGGCAAAACTGGCTCGAACTCGGTCAAGCTATATTTCGTCTCTAACGCTTCCAAATCTACATCTTGAAGATGACTCGGGACGTCTCTGACTCTGAGTCCTTTCTCCATAGTCGACCTCTACAAAAGTTATGAAGATATAAAGTGACAAAACAAGGGTAAACCACTACCTTCGACCTCGACCGAAAGTATGCTGGAAATCATAAACCATCTTAAAGAGCCGCTGGAAAAGAGGTTTGTTCACTGAGAAGTGAGAGGAAAGTGGGAGCAGAAGTAGGAAAATTACAAATGAAGCTATCACCTCACTTATATAAAGCTTCCCAGAAACCAAAGGTCGCCTCAGTTCAACAAAGCCATCATTACGCTGGTACGTGAATCGAGACAATCTTGGCCGTTCATCTTGATGCGGTGTTTCTTCTCCCCGCCTGTCAAAAGGATTAGGGTAAGTGGTAAAAACTCTAATCTACAAATGGGCCTTTAAAAAGCAGGCTTCATGTTGAAATGTTGAGCCCAAAATCACATAGCCCTTTTGAGCCCAACATGGGCTCTTGAGGAAGCAAAATTTGACACAGCCCATTTAAGTAGGATATTGGACCTTTAAAAGAATCAGCCCAACGGCCCAATAGTGCCAATGGATGTACATGTGTCCAACATGGGACCCTTTTTTGGACACTTCCTAAATAGTGATCTATATATATCCCAAGACATTCATTTCAGGGAGTCAATTCACACTACTCATTCTCTCTAGTGTGTATTTATTTTATTTCTCTCAGTAGACTAACTTTGGCATCAGAGTGCTAATCCTTGTCTTGCAGGTCTCCGTCCTAGTTGACCGTTGACTCGCCGCCATCAGGAATTGCCTTCGTCAGAGATTATTAGGCCTTAAGCATTTAGGGGGCAAGCTTATTCAAGGAAAGTCATTGTTTAATTTTAAGTTTTAAATGTTTTTTTTAATCCCGCATCATTAGATCAATTAAATGCAAAAAATGCAGTTCCTACCTTTGACCGTCTAGACAAAAAGGTTTTTGTTGAAATTTTGTTTTCTTTATGAAGATATTTCAGTGTGTGTAGGCCGTACTTAAGTTGGGTACATCCATGATTGATGTATTTTTTTTGTAGAGAATGATTTTTGGGTTTGCATGACGGTCTTCTTTTTTATTGTAAGAGTAAGTAATACCGACACAAGACATTAATGTTTGAATTTTAATGTTGAATCAGCATATCTGATTTTTGTGATG